TCTCTAAGACACCCAGTCACCTCAATACAAATTCAAGTTCACTAGTTCATACTGGATTCTTCTTATTGCAATGTTACTGATTTCAATCTATCCTTACTGTTTTAACTAGTATCTGGCTTTATCTTTGATATGTTCTGTATCTGCAGAGTTCAGGGGTTAATTACTTTGGCTAACTTCATCTACTAAGTCTGGGACCTCTTTCTCCAGGTCCTCGTTTATCCCTTCTGAGATTTCTCCTTCACTTTCTGGAAGCTGTGGTTAGCCCAGATCCCATCTCTTAGTTCTCCAGACCAGAAAGACCCCAGGCTTTCCACTGCAGCCTTAGCTGTCCTACAGCTGCATCGTGACTATAGCTGGTACTTAGGTCAAAAACATTAACCTTAGCTTGTGCCTATCTCTTCCTCCATATCTTATCTCCCATCCAAAATCTTTCTAGTTTTTCTTCAGTTTCCTGAACTCTCAGGTAGTTGTTTCTAGTATTTTGCCCAGGATCTATATTTATTATCTGAGGGAATGTTGGCCTTTAGATTACGCCACCATACTGGAAGAGAAAATTTCATGTCTTTGCTTTGCATTTGCCATGAGCTTACATGAAATGCCAAAACTGCCACCATCACAATGAATCTTCTCTTCACATGGTTGAGGTTCTTCTTTAAGATAACATTCACATTGTACATACTGCTCATACAGGTACTTTTCTTAAATTTATTCTGTACAATAAATACAAATGTTCAAGCTGTCAGTGACATAGTATATCTTAGGTTCTGGAGACTGACAAGATTTGTACATGGGCCCTGAAACTCCTAATTGTATTATCACCCTGAGCAAGTTTCCTAACTTTTCTGCTCAACTCAATTCCTCAGTTACACCATGCTGACAACAGTATTTACCTCACCAGGTTCCTTTGAGGATTAAATATGACAATATATACAGTGTGAAAAATGTAAAGAAAGAGCTTGGTAAATATCAGTTAACTCATATTACTGCAGATGTGTGAAACAAATGTCCCTAATCCCCTTAATGACTTCCCTCTAATGAAAAAAAATTACAAAAATTTAATACATGTTTGAGGATTGTCAAAGATCAAGATTATACAAGACAAAAATCAAGAAAGCATACAAGCAGAAAATTTTTAGCAGAGAAAAGGAAATGAGTACATAAGCCAAGATAGTCAACCTCCCAAATTATTTTTTAAACACTGGCTAAAACAGCAATGAAGTTCAACCTCCCAAATTATTTTTTAAACACTGGCTAAAACAGCAATGAAGTACCACTTAATAACTATTAAATCAGAAATATTAACAGCAAGTACTGACTAATTTATATACTATGGTATACTTTAATGTTGACTGTGTGAATTGGTAACTGTTTTGGCACAGTTTGTGATACATCTGAAAGGAAAACAAAAAAACTATTTGACATTAGACTTTTTGTAACTCAACATTTACAGCATTATTTCCTCTCCCCTCCACAGTGGACAGAACTAATTCCAGATTCAATCCTTTCCAATGTGTCCCATAATATCAATTACTGCATGTTTTCCGACATCTCATATGTATGTAGAATGAAGGGTGAGAAATGTCAAGCCCAGGGCCAGGAAGTTCAGCCATATATCAGGGAAAATATGATAATAATACTAAGGAAATAAGACTAAAAAAATCAAGAAGAGATGTGGGGCCAAAATAACACATGGAAGATCAGATTACATCACGTCAGAGCTTTTATGATTCAGTTTGGAGTCACTGTTCTACTGACGATGTACCTAAAGATACTAAAAACTGTAGATAGTATTCTCATGGTGTTTGCTAGTGTCATCTTTCAAGTTCTAAAGGAATTTCATCCCTTTGAACTGGAAAGCAGAAGACACAAATAATTATCCAACTTTTGAATTATTTTGGTGGAACAGATGGATCGATTTATATTTATATATATATCAGATATAAATATATTTTATATATCAGATATATATATCAGATGTAAATATATTTTATATATATCTCAAATAGATATATCAAATATATATATATGTATCAGACTCAGGGAAAAATAAATTTGGTTTAGTCTACAGGCTCCTACATTCTTGTTTACCAATAGGCTGTTGATGACTGGATTATTAAAAGGCTGACAAAAATCTTGGAAAATATTAACAGACTTCAGATAAACTTGCAGCAGATAGTACCACGCAACACACCTCCTCCTAAACTTTTATTTAAAAATACTTATAAAGCTTAAAAAAACAAAAACATTAAAGTCATAGAGACCAATTATTAAGCATATAGGAACATGATATTCATGTATCATTAAAATAAGAAATCTTTCAAGATCTGTTTTCTATCTCAGTCTAAATCAGGGGTGTGGAGTTGTGTCGTTAAAAAACTAGCCTCAAACGGCTCTGTGCATGCATAATAGCTTTATATGTGTTCCCATTGTTGGTCCAGTTACCTGACTGATAATTCTTCCTTACCTGAATGACTTTATTAGAATAGAAAACACATTAATATTGCCTTAGGAATTAAATCAAACACTGATGATCAGCTACATTTATCATGTAATTTAATCTGCTTTTTTGTATATTAGCTTTTACATATGGAATTGGGTATCTCAGGATTCCTAATATATAAAAGACCTGCATAAGAAAAAAACATTTGATGATATGCATAAAATCACAATCACAATAATTGGACCATAATTAGACTGGTTAAGAGATGAGGAATATATGCTCATTTGTAAGTGATAAGTGATTATATAAAGAGAAAACATGGGTTAAGTAACATAGTAACATTAATTTTTTATATCAACAAATTACTTATCCCAAGTCCTTAAAAGTTTATATTTAAAAAAACAGGTCAAGATGAAGAAATAAACTTGTAGTTTAAACTTCCACATGTGCTCCTTTGGGTGGTTTTGCCTTGGATTTTGCTTCCTTTGAAATCTTTCCATTTTGACATTGAGTAAATCTGGCTACTGTAGAAACACCATCCACAAACTTGGTTTTGAAAAGAACGTTTGCATTGTTGAACATACCTTCTTTTAGTGACACCACGATGAACTTAAGGAAAAAAGAAAAAAGTATAAAAAAACTTTTTGTGATACACTTGAAGTTTACTCCTTTATACTGGGGATAAGAATTGTTTGTAGATAATTTTGATTTTATATCTTTAGTTATATGAGGCACCTAAGTAAATACTAGCTGTCCAAATTGTTTTAGAAGTCGCTTAACTATGAGTGGAGTCCCCAGAGTTGTACAATGCATAATTTATGCAAGCATATTTGGCAGCCCCAGGTCCTACAGCAACACTGTAATAAAAACAAACTGTTCTTAGCTTCAGGGGCTTTGTTCGACTTTTTAGCCATGAGAAATTAAATTCCCCCATCAAGTGTCACATGATTTTCTGATACCTGAGTAATATCCCTGAGACAGTTTTGATTGTACATCTTGTACATCTTTATGGCAGCTAACTAGAGAAAACAATTGTATTAACCCTAAGTTAATTCTGTATTATGACTACATTGGAATCTCCCTCATGCTACAACCAACATTTTTAATGCCTAGGTCTTTCTTTAAAAGGAGAGTGAACCTTTTTTCCTTCTATACCTATTTAAACATAAGTTTATTTAAATAAATATACAATACTTTAGTATTTATCAACCCTAAATATCTTACTAACATTGGCTACTACTAAAGAATGGTTTTGGAAAAATAGTCTAATTAAACTATTACTGAGACTTTTTTTTCTGGTTCTTACCTGAGAATGTGTGAAATGAGTACGTAGCATCTGTCCAATGTTTTGGGTATGAGAAAGATCCAAAGCTGCATCTACCTCATCAAGGATATAAATTGGAGCAGGTTTGAAGAGGAGCATCGACAGTATTAATGACAAGGCCACTAAAGACCTAAGAAAAGGTCAGTAGAAGAAAAACCATAACAATTTGATTTTACCACTTATCAAAACACTGAAGCAAATATGTGATCCTATTATTGTGAATAGAGCAGATTTATCTGAAAGGCAGTCATATAAAAAATCTTGAGTTTCAAACTTTAACACTTTTGTTGTATTAAAATATTTCTTTTTATTTTAGCTTTCCATTTTTCCTCTTTTCAGAAGCATGCTATTTTCAGACAATTTTAATATTGCCATATTACGTTTGGCACCTACTCTTAAGATCATGTTAGTTTTAAAAGTTCTTTTTTTTTCCTTCCCCAGTTGGCTCGTAAGAGTAAGGGCTATGGTCATTATTTAAGACAATAGCTATTGTCTTGGTAACAGTAACTGGGTGAGATGTCATTTTTCAAACTTTCATAATGTACACACTTACATAAGTATGCATATACACACACAAACAGACACACAATCTCTCTATATATTTTTGGTACCATTTGTGAATAAGTTGTATGGATGATGGCCCATTACTCTAAGTACATCACTGTCAAAAGTTCAAACAATTTTATGTAAAATTCATAGTTACACCTAATTTCAGGTTCCACAGCACTATTTTCAGTTCTCTTCTCGCTTACTGCAGCTCATTCTAATCCAGTATGAAGAATCATATAATTATTATATTTTTTCCTTAAAAATAATTCATAAAAAGTCTTAATATAAAATATTTATAATTTCTTAACATTAGACTAAACATTAGAGTAGCATTTGTAATATACTTATTCTGTAACTTCAAGTACATGTTGGCATACAGTACTAGGATAGCCAACTTAATGCTTGCTGCATTCTTTTTTGAGAGTCTTGCTCTGTTATCCAGGATGAAGTGCAGTGGCACGATCTCGGTTCACTGCAAACTCTGCCTCCCAGGTTCAAGCAATTCTACTAGTGTCCCTAGTAGCTGAGATTACAGGTGCATGCCACCACACCCAGATAATTTTTGTAGTTTTAGTAGAGACAGGATTTCACCATGCTGGCCAGGCTGGTCTCGAACTCCTGACCTCAAGTGATCCACCCGCCTTGGCCTCCCAAAGTGCTGGGATTATAGGCATGAGCCACCGTGCCCGGCCCAAGGCCTGCTGCATTCTAATAAGGCTATTTATTAGGAAATACATAAGTAAGTAGGGAAAAATGTGTGCACAAGTGGAGAAAAATTGCTAGCAAAAAAAAAAAAAAAGAATAAAACAGTATCATCAAAATGAAATCACAGTGAGACTGTTAATCACCTCTATAAAAGGGAGCTAAAGTCATTCAGCCAACCTAAAATTATGTTTGTCTTTCTCTGTGATGAGTGCCTCAAGTATTGAGTTTTAAACTTAATCTTTAACCCTTCAGCATAGCAGAATTTTTTTTTTAACTGCCACGCTGGATAGTGGTATATCTAAAAATAACTTTATAGCATTTTAATTACAGAAATAATTTATAGGTCCCAGTAAGAAGAGAAGCACACATTTTCTATTTTCCTCAAAACATTTTCTAGGGCTTTGGCAAATATAGCTAAAGATACTGGGAACTAAACTGTGGAATTCAATTTTTATGAACAGGCAGAGCAGGTGCTGTATTTTTGATTCTTATTTACAAATTTTATAAAAAATATAAATAAAATATATTTCTACTCATAAAAATGATACAAGGGGTCATAAGGAACATTAACAGGTGTCTATATTTTCTATGTACATAAAAAAAGGGTTACATGATGGTATTACAGGACACAGAAGAACAATTCAAGGCCTATGGATTATATAACATGTCGGAGAAAAAAAAATTACTAAATTAATCACTAATTTCAATTATGTGAATATTCATTCACAACCTTCTTTTAGGAGGTTTTAATTAATTGGCTATCTGCAGGTAAGACGTGAGGACATATGACCTTTTAGATTTCTATCACTATGCTGACTTTCTGAATCACTGTGTAAGGTTGGAAGAAACTTTCCTGAACTCCAAATCCATGTTATTTTCCAACACTCTTCCTTCCTTTATGTAGATCCAAGGTTCCATCTGGTATCATTTTCCTTTTGCCTGAGAACTTCCTTTAACCTGTAGTATGGTTCAGATGTTTCTGTCTGAAAAGTATTCATATTGCCTTCAATTTGAAGAATATTTCTGTTAGATAAACAATTCTAGTTGACATGTTTTACTTTGAGCACTTTGTGGATGTTCCAGACTTCTGGCTTACATATGTAGCATTTAAAAAAAAATCTAAAGACACTTTTATTTTTGTTCACTAGCATATAATATGTCTCTTTTCCTCTAGCTGATTTTAGGATTTTTCTCCTAATCACTGGTTTTCAGCAGTTTTATATATCTCTTGCTTTGTTATTTTATATGTGTTTCTGTTTATCCTGCCTGAGCTTGACAGAACTCAAATCTGTGGGTTTACAGAATTCATCAAATCTGGAAACTATAGGGCCATAATTTCTTCAAGTATTTTTCCATCCTCCCTATTCCCTCTCCTTTTGGATCTCCAATTACTTGCACATTAGACAGCTTCCCTTAGGACATTGAAGCCGGTTTTTTTTCCCCCTCCAGTTTTTTCTTTCTCAGTGTAGCCTGAATAGATTCTGTTCCATTGCTATGTCTTCAAATTTACTCATCTTTCTTTTACAGTATCTTATCTGCTGTTAACCTCATGCAGAAAACTTTTTTTAATCTCTTGAAGATCCACTTAATTCTTTTTAGTAGCTATTTCTCTCATTATGTTCATATTTTCTTGTAATTTTTGAAAATGATTAATGTAACTCTAACTTGTTTCCTACTTTCATCAACTGTCATTTCAGAGTCTGTGGTTATGTTGTTTAGTATCTCAATTTTTTTTAACCTTCTTTAAAGAACACTGGCCTTTGTTCTGATAAACAAGTAACAGTTTGATCCCTTCAAGAAATCTGTTCAGTTTCTTAGGATATGTCTCCATTAGGCTTCACTTCAGGGACAGTAGAGACCTAATACCAAGGTGTAGCACTCTAGGGCTTTACAAAATTCTGTGTTTTTTTAACTTAGTGAGACTACTGACCTCTGTTTGGGCACCTGAAGTCCAAAAACTGCCACTAGAGAGAAAGCCAGGGTGAACACAGGGCTCAGCATTTCTGTTTCATCTTGTCCTGGACTATTCATTTTTTAATATTTGAAAATACATTTTTTAAAAATATATTTTGTCAACTTTGCTGCCTATTTTAATCAAATGTTTTAACCAAAATGTTTAGTCTTATATATTAGGCTCCTTAAACTCTACATGCAAAGGTAGTTAAGCAAATTAAAACACAAATACAATTGTTAAGGTAATGAGATGATGAATTAAAGTAAGAGGAATGAAAATTAAAATACAGCAAAGTGATTCCTCACCTCTGACCACCACTGAGTTCAGTTAGGTTTTCTTTCCAAGTATTTCCTAAGGCAACCTTGAACTCCAGACCATCCAAAACAGTTTGACCCTCTGGTGGTGCAAGCATAGCATTAGCACCAGGCAAAAGAGTAGAAAAAATAGAGCCAAAGTCCGTGTTCACCTGGATTTAAAAAATAAAAGAGTTAAAACATCAGGATGCTTTCCGAGAAGAATCAATTGTTGATATATGTATATGCAACACAGCAGGTCTACTTTGTCTATTACTGTAACTCGGAGACTGACAAACTATGGTCCATGTGAAAAATCTGGAGATGCTCATTCATTTACAAAGTGTCTATCAATCATTGCTAGTGATACAACAAAATCAGGTAGTTGCAACAGAGACTGGATGGGCTCCCAAGCAAAAAATATTTATTATCTGGCCTTTTACAAAAATGAATTACTGAATCCTGCTCTAATTTCCAGGGGAACTAGAAGGCACACCTCTAACTCTACTCTCCAAAGTTTTGACACTTTTGTAGAACACATTGCAGGAATCCTCAGGATACACACATTTGTATCACATGAGGAAAAAAAACCACAAAATAGAAGCAAACACAAAAACAAAACTCTTTTTGGAATAAAATGTTCTCTTATAAAACTTTTCTTTTTCCTGTTGACTGATACAATAAGATGGGTCTAAAGCCCTAAGCAGATCAGTGTGAGGCCCAGGAGAAAAAGGGGCATGAAATCAAAGGACCAGATCTGTTAAAGGGTTCTTTTCTATATGCCTCATCTCCTAGCCGAAGAGGATAAGCTGTTGAGAGCCAGAAAATAGGATTAGATCCCAAGAAAAAAGAAGGCTGTTTGGTCTGCTCCTGTCTTGCCACAGAAGGAGACAGAGATTTAGGGCCAAAATCCTAGTTTGTAATAGGGTAATTTTTGTTCATACGCACTTGATTGATGATTTGGGAATCTGGCCATCTGTCTTAAAAGACATGACTAATATTCTTAGTTCAGGAGTCAAACTTGAAAGTCTAACACACACACACATACACAAGGACTTGACAGCCAAGTTCTCTAGAGAAATCTCCAAATTCAAATGCAGATATACAATATTAAAATGTAAATATACTTTTTAATGAACATAGTAACAAGAAAATCTCATAGACACAAGCAGTGCTCCTAAATATAGATTTACTAAGTAACACACATTTTAAGAACAAGTACACAGCTGCTGAATAATAGTCTACAGAATGGAAGCAGGTTCTAAACCAAGTGGGGGAGAGGCAGCTCAGGACCAAGAGAGAGGAATGCTACTACACCTGAACATAACCAGGGCTGAAGCCAGAAGGAAGAATATAATGCTGATAACAGTACCTATTTCATTAGGTTATTGTGAAGATTAGATAAGAAAATTAATTTGAGAATAGTGACTGGCATATAATAAGTGACTGAATAAATGCTACTGGCTTTGGAAGAACCTTGGAAATTAGGGAAGAGCAGGATATGTTTAGACAATAGATTCTGATTTGTACTAAGTCTAGGAACCCTGGTGGGAAAAAAGAAAACAAAAACTTCTCAGATCCAGTGTTAAGTCGACATGCTGTACAACAATAATAGGGTCAGTCTTTTGCTTCCCTTTTTAAGAGAAAAATTGTACAGGGAATAGAGCACTGAAAATAAGTCTTAGAAAAGAAAAAAACAAGGTGACTAAAAGGGATAACTGTGGTGCATTACTGAAGATAGAATTCCTACAGAATTACAAAGAGAAAATAGTGTCCCATTAAAACCCAGAAGGCACAGGTTTGCTAAACTACCAAACAGCACAGTAACTCTATGTTTGGAATCTTTGAAGTAAGAGTCTTCTGCGACAGTAAAAATGGAAAAACTTCCACATGAGAGGCTAAGGGATTATCCTACAGCAGACAGATACATGAAGTCAGGGAAGTAGAAGTAACAGTAAAGAAGCCTGACATCTGCCAAAGCTGTCATAAAACAAAATGGAATTGGGATTTTGTTGAGTAAGCGTCCTATAAAAGAAGCTTGTTTACTGTCCAATTCTTAAGGAGGACAAGAATGCCAGGATCTGGTAATAGTCAAGTCTGAAAAGAAAAAATGCATTTAAAAGTCTGAGGTTTTAATTGAAGTGTGAATATGTGCCCCAATCAAACACAGATCAGCCATTTCAAATTTCTCAGAGTATAAATCCACTGATAATATTTTTTTCATCCTCGCCACCTCATATAAAACAAAACATAATATTCTGGGGTTAAAATACCTTTTGCCATGCAATATTTAGGGCTTGGTTTTTCTTCTGGTCTAGGTCTTCTATAGTTGTAAGAATTTTGGATTTGTCATTTTCTACAATTCTCTTCTTCTTCATCAAGTCATTATACTGTGAGATAAAAAACATGGTTAACTGGGAAAATATAAAATCTCTTCTATATTCCGGAATTCAGTCAGAAATAAACAGGTTTCATTATTTTGATATATAACGCATACATTCCTATTTACCAAAAAGATACAATGCACTAAGAATTATATATACTCTTATAAGTATATACTATACTATACATATACTATATGATGTGTGTGTGTATATATACTCTTAACAAAACTAGGAATAAAATCATCCATATGTATATAACAAAATTAAATTGCTAGAAGAATTTATAAGACAAGTCCTTAAAATATTTTGACTCCACTAATATTCCCTTATCTCCTTAGCAGCCAAGGCAAAAAAAAAAAAGTGTTATATATAAACTTAAATAAAAGTAGCCCTGAAAGCTCTCCTCCTAAGGTCAGCCTTAGCAGAGACATGAATAAAATTTTGATCCTTCACGATGATGTATAGGTCCCACATAAATTGGACCTTATTATTTAATTTTTTAAAATTTTACTTTAAGTTCTGGGATACATGTGCAGAATGTACAGTTTTGTTACATAGGTATACATGTGCCATGGTGGTTTGCTGCACCCATCAACCAGATTTTAAGCCTGTATGCATCAGGATAAAGGGAATTGGACCTTATTTATCCCTTGACTTTATGGCATTAAACTCCTCCCCAGGTTCTGGCCATATGGTCTTTTACAGCTCCTTTGAACATAATAAACTCACTATTGTCTTATGGCCCCTGCACTGTTCTCCCTTCCTGGAATATTCTTTTTTCTGACGTAACGGTTGCCTGAAATTTCAGCTTAAATATCATCACTTTAAGAGTAGCATTCCTTTGAGCAAGGCTGTAGAGGGATAATCATACCATCAACAGCAGTGGGACTTCCTAAAACTCTTCCTAACTCATTTCTCCTCAAAGCCCTGCATTTCACATTCACCTTTAACAACTCTAGCCAGTCCTTATGTCTTCCCAGCTGTCCCTCTTTACAGTCACGCTCCCCAAACCTCCTATGTTTTTATCTTATTTTTTCATGAAAATCCATATAATTGCTTATGTAGATGGATACAAAACACAAGGAGAAAAAAAAGGCCATCTGCTGATCAACAATACAGGCTTCTCCTCTGGTAACAGGATGGGAGTTGATAAATTCTTTTGAAAAAAATATTAGACTCAGGTCTCCTCTAACAGAAGTAAACGAGTACAAGTGAACAAGTTTCATCATGTTATGCCGATCAAATTCAGACCAAAGTTTTCCTTCTATAAATATGCCACATATATGCAAAGCTTTAATGTAGAAATGAAAACCAGCAGGAGCATTTTGTAGAGAGATCACAACACCTGCATGATTCATCTGTTTGGTATCTAACATAATCTAGACTCTCGGTGCATATTCATGCCAATAACAGTTAAAAAAAAAGTTACGGTAAAATTTCTTAAGTAATTGTGCTATTATCAGTGTTGCAGATTTCTCATGAATTTTACTCTATGATTTGCAAATTCAAACAGAATTTTGCAGAATTAAGGAAGGTATGGGGCATTAATATAAAATTTAAGATAGCCATTTCTTATGGCTATCTTAAGAGTAGGGAATGCTTCCCCCACTGGGTTTTTCTAGTGATAGGTCCTCCCAAGTTCATCACTAAATGACAGTAAACTCCCTTCCCAGACTCAAAGTTTTGTCAGGTTAGGGGAGATGGGTAACATTATTGAGTAATTAAGAGCATTAAAACTGAGAAGAGGTTGCAGGATTTACAGATTAGTGAAACAGTATTTATGTATGTAATGGCTTTAGTCATTACTTATATAATAGTTTCAGTATACAGTAGAGTCAAGAGAACGACAGCGCAGCATACCCTATTCAAGGCTTTTCAATGCAACTGAAAGAAATGACAGAAATGTGAGGAATTATGTTTGACAAAGAACAAAAGCCAGTGGAAAAGTCATTCCAGGTGTAACAGAATGTAAAAACCACTAATGACGCACAAGAGTAATAAGAAAAAAACGACGAAAAGATAAAAAGGAAAGCAGAAAGAAAAGCATCAAAGACATCTGCAAAAGGTTAACTCTAATAACTCCATCAGGGGTCATATAGAGCTATCAATGCTGGTCATGTTCTAATGTGGCCAGATATTCATAGGAAATTGACTTACCCGCTCTTCAGCTTCTGTCAATACATTCATAGCTCTCATATTGACATTTCTTCCTAGTTTCTCCTTCATTTCTTGCAACTTCTGAAGTCTCTGACCAGCTTCTTTAGGGTTGTTAGTTTTGAAATCATAGGCACTATTGGGTTTGCCAAAGAGGTGTCTCTCTGCATTAATCCAGTCATAATCTTTCAACATTTTGGATACCTAGCCACATATAAAAATAGATGGAGATCTACAAATGTTTACAAACCAATATGTATAAGCCAGTTTCTTAAATATTTAATACTTTTTAATCAGATACTGAAGAAAAAACCTTCAATGACTGATTTTTTTGTTTGTTTGTTTGAGATGGAGTTTCGCTCTTGTTGCCCAGACTGGAATGCAATGGGCAATCTCAGCTCACCACAACTTCGCAACCTCTGCCTCCCAAGTTCAAGTGATTCTCCTGCCTCAGCCTTCTGAGTGGCTGAGATTACAGGTATGCGCCACCATGCCCAGCTAATTTTGTATTTTTAGTAGAGATGGGGTTTCTCCATTTTGGTCAGGCTGGTCTTGAACTCCCGACCTCAGGTGATCCACCCACCTCGGCCTCCCAAAGTGCTGGGATTACAGGCATGAGCCACCATGCCTGGGTGACTCGTTTTTAAAAATGAGTTTCATTACTGACAAGAATAAAGATGAATATTGTTATGTGGAGTGCAGACTACAAAAACAAGACAGTGCATAGCAAAAGATCTTCCTATTACTTTGGCATTAGAAGAGCCAACTCAGAGAAATTTTTACAAAGTGTACGCAAAGCACCTCCATTAGAATGAAATGGAAGTCAGATAGAACTCCTTTAGAATTTACCAAATTCTATCTATTGCTTCAAAAAACAACTTGTAGTAAGTTAAAATTCCTTTAATACTTAAGTCATAGATTTGGTAAAATCATGGAAGCCTAATGCTGACTGAGACCTAATGATTTTTCTCTCAGAACTATATTCTAAGAAACTGCCCTAAACATTGACTCTATCCCTGCTCCCACCCCTCTGAAAAAGGCACAATATAATACTTCATGTAATACAACTGATTATACAGTTCAAATTACAGTGCTTAAAGAAGATTTTCTTCTACTAGAATTGATTCATTCTCACTGGCAGAATCCAATCCTTGTTAATTTGTTGACTTGTATTAATTCCATGGATATGGTCTCAAATGTAGGCCCCGTAGTAGAATTATCATTTCAAGTCTATCTTCCTCTTGACCTGTAAACTCTTTGAAAGCATTCTATATCATTCATTCTGTATATGTGTTGCTCATCCTTATATTGTCAGTGCCTGGCACAGGATCTGATACTAGTAGGTATGTATAAATCTTTGATAAACTATGTTTTTCAAAGAAGCATTGACTTCTTAGCAGACCCACTTGCAAGTCCCTCCTTTTACTCTTTCAATTGTAAATAAAATCTCCTAGCAATCACCAGTACTAGCATTTTCAGTTACCAAAATACTATTAGCAGTAACATTGCCATTGGTAATATTTCAGTCAGTTCACTATCACTAAGCTAATGGGAAATCAATAGTAATAAAGTGGGAGATTATAATGTAGCCATAAAAAATGTTTTTTAAATCAAGTTCCACAGTTCTTTCAGAAGAGGGGAAGATTGTTTTGTATGTTCTTGATCTTTCTGAAGTTAAAGTTCATGTATTTTTAGGATGCTTAAAAAAAAATATCCTGGACATTAAAAAGGTGCCAAATTGTTACACACTCATAAGAAAACATGCTGGATGAATTATTAACACCATGTGAATGCAGCTTCTCAACCAAGCAATGAATTTCTGCAAAAGCATGTGTTCTCTTTAAACCACTGAAGTTAAAGGCGCTGTGACACATGAAAGAAGGAAACTGTGGGGTAACCTCAAAAACATAGCTGCTTGGCAAAACATCAGATTTTTATAAAGTGGCAAATACAGCAGTGACACTCATAAAGACATGTGGAAGCCAATTCAGTCCTTTTTTTAGGTTAGCTCTATATATAGTTCTGTGAGTTCTTTAAATTCAATTTGAAATAAGGTACAGAATACACATCATTATTACTAGCACAGCAGTAATTAGTTCTATCAACATTTGGAGGTAAAAAGTTATTTCCATGGGAGACCACTAAACATTTGGTAACTACATCTTGTAGATGGGAACAAATATCTAAAATTAAATCTAAAAATAAAACATTTGTGCAATTTGTTGAAAATTAGCATTGTTGAAAAGCAGTTAATAGCTGCAAGCTCAAATTTATGTCAGGCTGTAATTTTGCCATTTATATTTACAGATTTCTCCATCAAGCAGTTTTCTAAAATTTTTCAAGAGCACAGTAATAAAAATTTGATTAAGTATAAAAAATGAACACAAACATACCTTTGCAGCACCATCTTCAGCCTCCCGTTTATGTTTGCTGATGTTGTGGTCTAATTCCTTAATTTTAAGCTGAGAATCATTGTTTTGCTCCTTGTGTTTTGCCACTTCTGCATATTTAGCTTTAATTACAGTGTCTTGGGCTGTTATTACCTCTTTTTGCTTGGTCACTTCTTCTTGAGCTTTATTTACTGACTCCTAAAACAAAAAATAAAAGAAAATATGTGGTGAGGTAACATGTAAATAATTTTAATTTACTAAACAATTATCTGACAGATCCCTGGGCAAGATGTCAATGTGATTACAGGCAGAGAGAAGATCACCTAACCCTCTATTTTATATCACCATTAAAAGGACTAATGAATTTATACACAGAAGAAAACTTGGATTACCCCTGGAAAAAGGGTTGGGGTACAATGCTCATGCTGCAAATGAAAGCGTTTCTGCTGGATGTAATGTAGATGGAATCAACTGGGTGAGGAAGAAGAGAGACTGCTAGAAGCTGACTGAACTATGAGATCCCCAAACTGGCAATTCTGGATGAGTAAAAGCTATCTGTGCCTCATTCTGAGTGAAAAGACTGAGAACACCAAAGTCAAACATCTTAAGCTAATGTTTCATAAAAAGATTATCATTTTCAGCTTCTCCAATTTGATAAATAAATCCTACCTTATTTTTAGCCACCTCAGCTGCCATTACTTCAATCTGACTTTCATAGGATTTGATAGCTTCATTTACAGCTTCAAGCTGTTGTTTGTAAGATGTATGCTCTCTCTTGAGCTCTTCCAGTTCCAGAGTGATAGCTTCAACTTCCTGTAAAAAACACAGTATTCGGGTATTCACATAGGTGATTAACTACTCAAAAACAAGTATGTACAGGAAAATTAAATAAACAATAATCTCATGCAAGTAAGACCCACAGCTACCAAAAGTACAGGTTAAGCTGCTTCCCCAGAAAAAGGAAGTTTATTTTCCCATATTAAAAAAAAAGTGTAATTTGTATAGGCTGAAAGAACTCTGCATAAATTATATCCTTTATCATTTATTCCTACAGGGAAAACAATATTCTACATAACAGATGAATTAGTGGAAGTAAAGTTTAAAAACAAAACTGTTCAATGTGTAAAAAGTTTCTCAATATTATTCTTTCCCACTGTAGCTACACTTCATTTCATTAGAAGAGCAGTCCTCAACCTTTTTGGCACCAAGGACCAGATTTGTGGAAGATGATTTTTCCATGTGGTAGGGGCAGGGAGAGAGCATGGTTTCGGGATAAAACCACCCCATCTCAGATCATCAGGCATTAGATTCTCATAAGGAATATGAAACCTAGATCCCTTGAATGCACAGTTCACAAAAGGGTCTGCAATCCTATGAAAATGTAATACCACTGCTGATCTGACAGGAGGTGGAGCTCAGGCAGTAATCCTCATTTGCCTGCCATACACCTCCTGTGTTACTGGTCTGTGGTCTGGGGGTTGGGGACCCCTGCATTAGAAAATACTTTGCACAGCTATTTAATAAGAGTCTTAGAGTGGGCTAAAAAAAAATGTGAGGGAAATATATTTAGGTGCAATCACATAAAAGTGATTAAAAACCTAGGTTCAAATTCTAGCTTTGATATTAGCTAAAAGATATAATAAACTATTATCAGTTTACAACTGAATGACACCTTGTAAATATAACATGCTTTGTCTTCCATCATGTTCTCACAGTGCACATTCATTTAGGTGCTTACCAAATAAAAATGTCAACTTGCTGAATCTCTGATAAGACATCCACAGTATCAAATAATCCACTCCTGAAGAAAGGCCATCCGCTCTTGAAGGAAGCATTTGCCAATGGTCAACTTCGGCCTTTCCTTAAAATTAGCATCCCCTACTCACAACTATGAAATACTAGACTGCACTGTTTTCAGAGAAAAATACAGATTAAATATCCCTTATCCAAAATGTGTAGGACCAGAAGTGTTTCAGACTTCAGATTTTTTTTTTTTTTAGATTTTGGAATATTTGCATTATACTGACTGAGTATCCCAAATCAAATCTGCTCCAATGAACATTTCCTTTGAGCCTCAGATCAACACTCAAAAAGTTTCTAACTCTGCTGTATTTCGGATTTGAGATGCTCATCCTGTATATTCCTTTGACTTGTGAGAAGCATAATTTGCTTCCAAAGAACACTGCTCCCTTTTAGATTCTGAGATCAATTCTGATGACTAAGGTCAACCAATGATGCTCTACCACCTTCAGCTCTATGTTGACTTTAAAAGGTTGGTTCAGTTTCAAAAAGAAGTTATTACCTGTTGTTTTTCTTTCATCTTCTTGCTAGATGCATCTGACTTTGTTTTGGCACAATCCAGTTTTTTCTGAGCATCCTTCAGTTCTCGCTCTCTCTCAGCTTCTGCATTTTTCATTTTATTTTCCAATACTTCATATTTTTCTTCGGCTTTTCTTTGGATTTCTTCAGTGTTTTTCAAAATCTCCTCACTTTCCTCTGCATCACAAAGTAGGCAAATGTTGCTAAATTAACAGTTACAGGTAAAGGTTTACAAATTCAACTTTTAATGGAAGAAATGGTTTGGAAAATTACCGGCTAAAATTTAAGAAAATTAACTATCCCAATGATATTCTAGAAATGGTATAATGAAACACAGATCCTACCTAAAAGTCATATTTGAATTATGTAAAAATTTGTAATGAAATCATTTCTTCTGCTATGAAATTGAACTTCACCTACAACTATTCTTTTACAAAGGTATTGAAGCAATCTATTAAAAAAAAAAAAAAAAAAACAGATCATATTTTTTATGCAATTGTATGCTTCCTAAAACCAGAACACTATAACTATGGTATTTTTCCTGTAGTTGCTAGAAAGCGTATAATTTCATAAACAAGCTTACTTTATGTTCTTTGCCTATTTTATACATATTCAGGGAACTTCTCATTAAAGTTGACAAACAAATTGACAGTAGGATACAGCAAAGGAAAAACATCCCCAAATTTGTGAAAGAAAAAAATAAGGCCAGGTGTGGTAGTTCAGGCCTGTGTAATCCCAGCACTTTGGGAGGCCAAGGAGGGCGGATCATGAGGTCAAGAGATCAAGACCATCCTGACCAACATGGTGAAACCTTCTCTCTACTAAAAATACAAAAATTAACTGGGTGTGGTGCTGCACGCCTGTAGTCCCTGCAACTCAGGAGGCTGAGGAAGGTGCTTGAACCCGGGAGGCGGAGGTTGCAGTGAGCTGAGATTGCGCCACTGCACTCCAGTCTGGGGACACAGAGAGACTCCATCTCAAAAAAAAAAAATAATAAATGAATAAATAAGAGAGCAATACTGAATGAACACGTGTTGCTGTAACAACCGAAGCATACTGTTAGTGTTGGGACCCAGGTGCAAATAACCTTGGAAGTCGTTACCGCACAATTTCTTATGCTACTTTTCATTGTGGAAAATACTATTAAAATATTAGTGGAGATAAAAACTTTTGTATAACAAAAATATTATGAACACAAAATTAAAAGACCAGTACATAGCCAAAAAAGACAGTAAAAGGATATTTGCAATGCACATAACCTATAAGAAATTAGGACTCTTAAGAATGAGAACAGTGGGGAAAAAACCATGAGCAACCCATGGGCAAAAGAAATAAATAGAAAATTTACAGAAGTATAAACCCAAAGGTACAATGAACATACAAAAAAGATCCCAAATTCCAACAGAAATTAGGGAAATGCAAAATAAATGCCAATGCATGCTATCTTTTCACAACCAACAGATTTGGAAAATTTTAAAAGTCTGGAGAAAAAAAAGAACTTGGAGAAATGAAAACTTTCATATGCCACTGGTGGAAATGAACATTGGTAGAAATGAACAGACCTTTGACAATATATAATAAAAATGAAAATAACCATACCCTAAGACCTAGAAATCCCATACTTGGATTTTCCCTAAATAAACTTTATCATATGTATCTTAAACATAGCACAGGTAGAGAAGATACCTAAGGTAAGGTAACAGATATGAATAAAACCAGAGATTAAGCATGGGCTGTTTTCATCTTACCAATGGTTTTTTTAAGGGCATCTAATTCTTCTTGTTGCTTGTGATATGAGCTTTGCTGGAGCTTGGTTTGTAATAAATCTGCCTCTTCAGTTTTCATCTCCCACTGCTGTTTTAGTTGGCGATACCTTACAAAAACAGAAACACGTAAGAAATGACTGTAATTTCTCTGGTATTTGAGAAATACATTCAAACTTCAGATTCTTACCTAAAATAAACTCATATACATTATAAACCATATAAGATGCTACTGGTTACAGGAATAATTTTGATGACTTTCAAGTTTCTGAGGTACCAATTAATTCAAATTTAGATATGGTCATTGAAGGTAAATAACTCTAAATGACTAAAATCCACAATAACTATTTACACTAGAAATATTTAACAGCTAGGTTTCCTTAAAAATAATCCCTCTTGCTAACTAAAAAGAAAAAAAAAAAAAACAACTACTCACCACAAAAAATGATTAATTATAACAATTACATAAAATTTCAAAAATTTAATTATCTATTAACCTCATTTTCAAATGTTAATAATAATGTTCCCTACTTTTAGTGTAAGAAAAATAGTTTTGAACTTAGTTGTTTTAAAACGCACCTTCTTGAAAACTTTGTAATTCAATCCCAATTCTGGCTGCTTACTCATTTCTTTCAAAGGTATTTAGCTAATTCAGTTGCAGTGAAATTTCAAGTTAATATAAATTCACAAAGTACCTTGTCACTAGAAATTCATGAGGTTTGAGGAAAAAAAAAAAAAAAACTTATAAAATATAAATACTACCTTGAGTATTCCTGCCTGAAGCTATACTTGACAGTACTTAATAATTTTAACTTCAAGTTAATTTAAAAACGTGGAGTATAGAAATATTTGTTTAAAAGATGTTACTTTCCTGATATGGTGTGAAACAATGGCTTTAGCTGATCCTTCCACCATTCTCATTTTTTTCAAAATCTATTTTCCTTCCTTGACCTCAGTGACACAATTAGGAAAGAATTCAATTCTGCAGAACAAATGATCCAATACTACTGAACAAAATTAACAGTTCTAAGCCAAATGTAACTAACTACAAACTCATCACCTTGTTAGTGCTTCCACATATCACAGAAAAGTTTTGTTTTACTCTTCTCACAGAAAATAATTCATTTACTCTCTGGTTAATTTATATTCATGAAGGTAAAATGCAGGCCTTTACATGTATGTGATGTTTGAAAGTAAACAGGATAGAACACTTGAGGCCAGGAGTTCAAGACCAACCTGACCAACATGGTGAAACTCCGTCTCTACTAAAAATACAAAAATTAGCCGGTGTGGTGGCACGCGCCTGTAATCGCAGCTACTTGGGAGGCTGAGGCAGAGGTTGCAGTGAGTCGAGATCGGGCCATTGCACTCCAGCCTGGGTGACAGAGTGAGACTCCATCTCAAAAAAAAAAAGAAAAAGAAAACAGAAAAACTTTGATTCAATTTGTATCTCTGAATGGTCATCCTGACTATGAAAATCTTGTCCATATTTAGCATCCTCAAAAGTCTTGGTGCCATTCTAAGCTTTCATAACTACAGAATTTGAATGCTAAAAACGTACCCCAAAATAATCATTTCAACATTTATTTAGATTTTTTAAATTGTATTCAGTATTGCGAATTCTGAATAAAATCTTTTTAAATCAGTCCCTATTTGTCATCTTCAGAAATACTGGAAAAAATTACAATTAAACTTTAAAAAAAAATTTTTTTTTTTGAGACAGGGTCTCACTCTGTCCCCAAGGATAGAGTGCAGTGGCACAATCTCAGCTCACAGCAACCTTGAACTGCAGGGCTCCAGCAATCCACCTACCTCAGCCTCCTGAGTAGCTGAGACCACAGGCACATGCCACCACGCCTGGCTAACTTTTTTGTATTTTTAATAGAGACAGGGTTTCTCCATGTTGCTCAAGCTGGTCTTGAACTCCTGAGCTCAAGCGATCCACCTGCTTCAGCCTCCCAAAGTGCTGGGATTACAGGTGTGCACCACTAGGCCTGGCCAAACTTTCAAACGATGCACTTTGTTAAGTTTGTAGCTCTTTTAACTCATGAAGCTTTCAATTCAAGTGGGGACTTATTCTCCCAGATAACCACAGAGCCAGTTCACTCACTCTTGTTCACTCACTCACTCGTGTGTTTACTCAACAATCATGTCCTCAGTGAGGCTTTTCTTGGTCACCCAATATAAAATTTTAACATGTCTTTGCCCTAGACAGTTCCTATCTCCTTTCCTGATTTACTTTTTTCTTCTTAGAACTAGTAACATGTTTTACCAATTTATCTTTCTTTATTGTCTGCTTCTCCAACAAGAAAAACTAGATGAAGGCAGGGATACTTATCTGATCCCCAGCCGCTAGAAGAATATGTGGCACACAGGGAGCACTCAGTAAATGTTTACTGAGTGACACAAAAAGGTTACATTAGCATGATCCCAATATTGAAAAAATTAAAATACACATATAACTCTATTATACTAAATAGAAACGATGTTGGAAAGTATTTATGTATCTTATCCGTACCTATACAGAAGAAATACTGTAAGGAAACACAGTACTGATATTCGACATGAACTTGTTTACCTGCTCATAGGCAACCCAGCAGATCCTTGATATAGGAAGGACAGTCACAATGCTATTAAACTTACTGTGGGCACCTGATCAATGCTATACTCTATCATTTTAACGTCAAATCAGGAAATCAAGTAACCTCTGGTATCAGACACCAGAGTATCTAAGGGTTTCCCCACCAACCCTAGCCAAGTGCTAGTGTATTTCTCAGCAGCGAGAATGGAATATTTGAATGATTGTTTTGCTTAAATAGATTTTGCTAATTTCTTAACAAAGACATCTCTTTTATGAGAAAAAAATGGATAAATGGTTATCAACTCACAATTTAAATATTTTAAATAAACCAAAAATATAAGAAAAGTCAGAAGCTGTATTTCTGCAAATAAAAGTAAATTTTCTATCATTTTCTACTATGCAAATCTTTAATTTAGAAAATGTATATACAGTTCTTACTTTTCAGCAGTGTTTTTAAGACCTGCTAATTCCTCCTCTAGAGCCCACAGCTCATTCTCTTTGATTCTCAGTTCATCCTGAACATCTTTGAGTTCTTGAAACTTGGTTAAAATAGAAGCCGCCTGGGATCGAGCACCTGATAGAGGCAAATTCAAACAGATCTTCCACATTGAGTTACCAGGTATACACTACACAATAAAAAGTCTTCTAAGACAACTGCACTCAAATCGATATTCAATAGTAAATATTTTAGTGAGCTTATGAAGCCATGGAATTCATTCCATCACCTGAACCTTAGAACACAGAGAACTCATAACAGATCCAAGAGGTTGTAGTAGGTATTATTTATTCAAAATAACCACTGCCTTGTCTACTGGGCCCATCTTCCGGCCTCTGACATTGGACTTGCCTACGTGATTTGCTCTGGCCAATGAAATGGAGAAATGTGTCCCTTCTGAAAGTACACTTTAGGAGGCAGTACCTAAATTACCATTTGCTTTCCGTTTGCCATGAGTCTCTGTTCAAGACAGAGACTGCTTCTCCTTCACAATGAGTCCCAGAATGAGAACAGCACTGAGCAGAAAGGCAACTGATCTGCAGCAGATATAGCATTCACATGAAATAAACTGGTTGTAAGCTAAGACTGGGGGGCTGACCTAAGTTCTGACACAGGGCAGCAAGTAGAATAAACCGATTTCACATTATAGAACTATAATTATCTGGCAGTGACAGGCTGAGGTATTATGTTGACAAAGAAACTCTGCAGATTTGATGGAAGAATGCTAAGGTCAATTAAAAATGCTGTTTAAACACTTGGTAATTAAGATATGGGGTTATTTCCTATCCTGTAAGTAAAAACTTCAAAAGCATCGGAATCAATAAAATCTAAAAAGTTTCTTCCCTTGTAGACATGTAAAAACACATAGTCTCTTTTTATCTTCCATTTGCAGATACTACTCATTTGACTGTGTACTGGAGAACCTAATACCTGGTCATGGAAATCATTGAACTGGCTATTGTTTTCATGGCTTAGAAAGACATTAAGTCACTTGATACCTCAAATGGCTTTATGCCGTTTACTGGGTTAAAAACACAAACCCTGAAATCAGACTGCTGGGATTCAAATTCTGAGCTCTGCCACCCTGTAGTGAGTTATTTAACCACTCTGTATCTTCATTTCTGCAACTGTATATTAGAGATGATACTACCATGCCTACCTCATCATTGTTATTAAGAATTAATTCTTATTTAAAGCCCATAGAATATGGTTTTATAGAATGATAGACATGTTCTATATCTGCATTGTCTAATTATCCATTAATCATTTGTGGTTATGGGCTCTTGAAATGTGACTAATGCAACCAAGGAAATTACTTTTATTTAACTTAATTAAATGTAAAGAGTCACATATGGCTAGTGGCTACTGTATTGGACAGCATAGTTGCAGAACATTGGTATATAGTAAACATATTCAGTGTTTGTTATTCTATTGTCTTGACAAAGATCTGCAAACTCAGTGTGGCAAATACTACACCAAGAAGAACACGATCACTGTCTAAGAATTCCTTTAAGACATTAAGGTACCATTTCAAGAGCAGGTTTAATTTTTGTTTTACTTTTGACAGGAGGTAGGCGGCACTGGCAAACACACAAATGAGAAGTTAACATGTTTCCTGAAGAAGTGGGTAGTTGGGCTAAAAATGTACTTAAAAAAGGCCTCTTCCTATTTACCACAAAGAATTGTGAGGACAAAAGGATATAAAACTTACCTCCACTCAATGTCCCATGCGGATCAAACACATCGCCTCCGAGAGTTACAGTTCTAGTCATTATCCTCTTATCAAAGGCCACTTTTTTGGCATTATCCATATTGTCACAAACAAATGTTGTTCCAAAGACAAACTCCATTGCTTTCTGAAGTTCTGGTTTATATTCAACCAGGGAAAGAGCCACACGAACGCTGTCAGGGCCAACCTGTGGGACAACAATAGATACACCACAGTACATACTAGTTCTTTTCCTTTCAGGTATTATTTTATAAACTAGTAAGAACTGCTGTAATGGAAACTTAAGTAATACTTACCTAGCATTAAAATTCTTTCTGAACTTTCTAAAAAGCTATGTAAAACCCAAAGTTTCAGGAAAAAAAATTGCAGGTTTAAATACTGAAAGATCTATTGCTAAGTAAAATATTTATTAATAGCTAGTACTGGGCATTATGAAAGTTTCTATCAATAAGGAGCCATCACCATGTTTCTAAGTGTCCATTATCAAAGTTGACTGGACACAACTTTCTTAATGATGGTACAGATTGAGGATCCTTTATCCTAAATGCTTAGAACAGAAGTGTTTCAGTTTTCAGATTTTGGTATATTTGTACTACAGTGGTTGAACTTTCTAAATCCAAAATGCTCCAATGAGCATTTTTTGGGTGTCAGAGTTTTGATTTTTGGAAAATTTCAGTTTTTGGACTTGGAGTGCTTAACCTGTAATTCCCAGATCAACACAACTATAAGAAAATTTTGTTTCAATAATCAGGAATTTGGCTTCACAACAAGTATTTTTTTCATACAAATGAAACATGCTAGAGCAGTCATCTGCAGTTATAGAAATAAAAACACAAGTAATAACTGAGAGAGTAAAAGTAATTTTAAAAATCCCTCAGTCCTCTACTTTGATCACAATGCTTCTTCTCAGCCTCTGTTTACAGACGCTACCTCTGCCATCATTTTAAGAAAAAATAAGCATCTCTTTTAGAGCTTAGTAGAAGCAGTGGCAATCACAACGAAGGAAGCTCTATGTAACACATGTTCAGTATTGTTCTTTGATGTGGCAGCTACCATCAAATAGGTCTGGCTAAGGGATCTGAGGCAAAGTATTTTTGCTGTTACTTGAAATCCCAATTTCCTTCTAATGCTGGGACTTGATGTATGGCTGAATTAACTTCCTGAGCCTTCTGGACTTAATGGTGATTCTTCAAGTAAAGAAAGTACCAACCAAAAACACCACCTTTTAGTTACTCAGCACTCATCCTCCCTCTCCTGATAGTATACATATCAACACAACTATATTTTGAAATCATTTTCATTGAAATCTTCTGAATTTAACTAAGGATACAACATCCAATTAGTTACAAGTATATTTGTAAGTTTCATAGAAATGTCTTTTCAACTCATGTACTTGGAATGTCTGCTCAATAAAAAAACATTACAGCTGAATGTTATGACTGACTTCATGTTTTCACAGTATTACACAACTACAATAACTTTTAAATGTATTTCCTTGTACTGATCTATTTTCTTACTAGCAAGCATGTCACTTTAGATCAACGTCAGCAGTTGAATGGGATCCTGGTCACCTGCTATGTACCTGCACAGGCTGAATAACAATCTAGAAGAACTCTAATAAAGAAGCATCACTGCAATACTAATGAAGGCCTCCCATAATGGATGTCACCGTGGGCAGTTTAAGTATGCCTGACATAGAAACAAAAACAAAAACTTGAAGAATTTGGGGTATTTATCTAGAAGCTCAGGAATCAGGAGTGTAATTTTCACCATCACCTGATAGTCATGCGACTTAAGGTTAAAAAGGACATTCTAATACCACAAAGTGAAGTATATGAAAGGGAGTTCAAGTCTTTCAACATTTCTATTCTCTTGTCATCTAATTGCACAAGCCAACCCAATTTTCTTGTATTTTAATTTTGTGGTTCTGTATATGATTATATCCCTCAAAATTAATATCTTCTAACTTAAAAAAAACACACACACCCACACAGATGAAGATTAAACATATAAATAAGACAAAATGAGACTTACAAGATTCTGAGCCACTCTCAGAGTTTCTGGTGCAATACATCTGGCTGAAATTTTATTGAGTGGAATTATGGTGTATCGACGTTTCAGTTCCCCCCTTTCGAGTAGCTTTTTACCAGTAACCTACAACACACATTAGAATTTAAAAAACGCACGTTAAAGACAGAAAATTGAGAGAATGCAAGTTTAGTAGTCTATAACAAATGTTTAGTGCCATTTATCCCAAACAATCAAGCTATAATTATATATGCAATGGAACATCATTTGACCTTGAAAAAGGAGATGCTGACATTTGTGACAACATGAATAAACCCAGAAGACATAATGCTAAGTGACATAATCAGACAAAGAAAAAAAAAATACTGTATGACCTCACTTGTACATGGAATCTTTAAAAAAAAAGTTGAACAAATAAAAAGAGTAGGATAGTGTTTATCAGGGATGAGGAGGGAAAGAAAATGGGTGGAAGTAGGTCACAGGTCAAAGGGCACATATTTGCAGTTGGGTAGGATAAATAAATCTACCTATTCAGAGATGTAATGTATAGCATGAGGACTATAATTAATAATGGTGTATATTGAAAATTTGCTAAGAGTAAATTTTAGGTGCTATCACACACAAAAAAGGTAACTATGAAAGATGAATGGCTATGTTAATATGTTTGACTACAATAACCATTTCACCATGTATATGTATCAAAACATCTTGTTGTACATTTGTTTTTTTCTTTTTTTAGAGATACAGTCTTGCTCTGTTGCCCAGGCAGGAGTGCAGTGGTGTGATCTCAGCTTACTGCAACCTCCACCTCCCAAGTTCAAGCAATTCTTGTGCCTCAGCCTCCAGAGTTGCTGGGACTCCAGGTGCACGCCACCGTGTCTGGCTAACTTTTGTATTTTCAGTAGAGATGGGGTTTTGCCATGTTGCCGAGGCTGGTCTTGAACTCCTGGGCTCAAATGATCTGCCCACCTCGGCCTCCCAAAGTGCTGGGATTACAGGTGTGAGCCACCATATCCAGGCTTCTTGTACATTTTAAATATATATGATATAAATTTAAAAAAACAAGGAAGTAAATTTGACAATGACTATGTAGCATTTACAGGAAAGAGTATGAGCATTTTACAGAAGGATAACAAGGACAACTGAAGAAATGTAGTTAAATTCAATGTTACCTTGATGGGAAGACTGACATTAAAAACAGGTCATTTGTTCTCAGATTATTTTACAAATTAAATTCAACTTATACAGCAAAGAGATCCCAAAAGTTTCAGATTGGTAATATGCATTCTGAGTTTCTGAGTAAGCATGAGCCTTCCTTTGGAACAGTTACCAAACAGTTATGAACCAAACAGTTTTACCCTGTAAATATGTCACCTTAGGGGAGAGCCTTAAAACATCAAGAAAGTATTCAATTCTCTTAGCAGCACATGACTTTTCAAGCTAACCAAATTAAAAATTTTTTTAAATTAAAATCGACTTACTTCTGTGTCTACTACAACATTGTAGAGTCGTTCTCCAGCCACTAATTCTAAAGCTGTGGTTGCAGAAGTATCTTTCACACTAATCAGAGAAGCCACAAGTCCTTTCACACAATTTCTATTCCAGTTCTTCTCTGGATCCCTGAAATACAAAAGTTGACAAAAATTTATCTTAGATAATAAAGTAGAAAAAGTTATACTTTACTCATCAAGAGCTCTTTTGGACAACACATTAAAGTGAAATGAAAGCAGAATCAGCACATGGTTTTAACAAACCAAAAATTTTAAAATGTCCCAAATGACTAGCCAGCTGTTGTTTTTACATCAATCAATAGATGTTTCAGTATGTTTCAATGTAATAAGAACTCTGATGTTCTAATCCCTATCATACATATGATTACTGTAAATATTCCATTAAAAAACCCACATAGCAAAACAAATTATAAGATGTAAACGTGGATATTTAACTTTAATGACAGAATAACTTTAAAGACATTTTGAACTGTGATTAAATTTCCCTGATTTTAAGATTAGTGGCATCATTAGCCATTAAATTTCACAAGAATTTCCCTGCCAACATTTAAAACATTTCAACAAATGCTTAAAGGAAAAATACCAATGAAAGAAAAGCAGTTACAACAAGTTTCATACAAAAATCTTGGTGTCGACAAAACTTTCAGACTGCTTCCAGCTTAAATAAAAATGTCTTGATTATTTCTATCTTAAAATTCAAGGCTTAAGTCTCTTACTTGTATGCAAATCGAAGATTGGGAAATCTGGCTAATAGAGCTTCATATGTTTCTTTCAATCTACCAATATCACGAGACAGCTGCCTGCGCTTTTCCAAAAGGCTTTCCTCTTTATTTTCTGAAAGATAAATCATAATAAAACCGAGTTTTAAAAGTTCAGTCTACTGTTTTAAGGAAACTATTAGTAACCACTATTTCCAAAACATACAAAAAATACAAATTTCTGTAAGTATTACAAAAGCACGCTGAACCTTCCAATTTCTATCCATTGTCAAACATTATTTCCAATAGCAAATAACATAATTTTCATTCCAAAAAATAATATACAAACTGAATGCCTACTAATGTAGAAATACACAAATGACATTTTTGAGCTTTCAAATGATTGAAGCAGGAAATTCTCAATACTGAGTTTTCAAAAATTCAAGAGTTGTTTTATAATTAGGTATTTTTTTTTTACTATACTTACAAACACTTCTTATACTAACGCTCGTTAATAGGCTAAGAAATGTTTCCTACTTGCTTGCATTCTTTATTTAAATTAGCTTTTTATCAAAAATCACTACCTCCTCATGACCTGATTATCATGTTTTTAAAGGCAAACCTTCATAATTTAGCTTTTTCATTTCAGCTTCAAGTTTCTCTTTAAGTCTTTTTACAGCTTCTAAAGCTTCTTGATCCTTCCTGTAGCCACTATCCATCTTCTTAACTTCAGCTTGTTTATTCTTTAATTCCTGTTGAGCATGCTTCAGCTTCATCTGAGCCTGTGGCAGAAAAATGCAACAGACTATAGGATGTATGAGGCAGACAGTGCTAGTAATTAAATGGCCAAAGATTCAGATTGGTTTTACTAAGAGACCTTAGCCTTAAAAATTTAATTGTTTGGTCTCTTGGATTAGTATTTCAACAAATTAGTCATTTCCCAGTATTTTCTCCTCAAAAACTACTCAAAATATAAACTAATATATGATTAACATGTTGTTAAAGAAATTGAAATTAAAGTCCATATTTTTAATAAGATATGTGTGGGGAAAAGAGAGATCAGCCTGTTACTGTGTCTATATAGAAAGAAGTAGACATAAGAGACTCCATTTTGTTCTGTATTTGAGATGCTGTTAATCTGTGACCCTACCCCCAACCTTGTCCTTGCAAGAGACATGTGCTGTGGTGACTCAAGGTTTAATGGATTTTGGGCTGTGCAGGATGTGTCTTTGTTAAACAAGTGCCTGAAGGCAGCTTGCTGGCATCGCCATTCTCTTACTTTCAACTACCCAGGGACACCTACACAGCCAAAGGTCGCAGGGACCTCTGCCTAGGAAAGCTAGGTATTGTCCAAGGTTTCTCGCCATGTGATAGGCTGAAACAATGCTGCTAAAAGGTTTATGGAGATGTTTGCATACGCATCTCAAGGCACAGCATTTTCCTTTAAACTTATTCATGTCACAGAGATTTTTGTTCACATGTCTTACTGCTGATTTCCTCCCTACAATGATCCTATTGTCCTGCCACTCCCTTATCTTTAAGATGGTAAAGATAATTATCAATAAACACTAAGGGAACTCAGAGACGTGGGTCCTCTGAGGGAACTCAGCCGGCGTGGGTCCTCTGTAAGCTGAGCGCCGGTCCCCTGGGCCCACTCTTTCTTTCTCTATACTTTGTCTCTGTGTCTCATTTCTTTTCTCAAGTCTCTCATTCCACCTAACGAGAAACACCCACAGGTGTGGAGGAGCAGGCCACCCCTTCAATATGACATATTAAAATTGAAGAATTATATCGAATAACTGTCAGTAGCTGGTAATTACAGCCAGCTAGAAATCACAACTCTCCTTCCTTTCCTTTCCGCTTGTTTATATTTGTATTTGTATATATTTGTGAGTGCTGTCTAAAAACAGTTAAGAAACTGAATTGAGCAATAAAATCTAAAATTATACAGGAAAAGAAGCTAAACTGACAAAGAAACTTAAATGCTGAGAGTCTAATAATTAAATGCCAGAACTATTTAAATTAAATGTGTCAGGCATTCAAGAGTTTATACAATTGACCACTGCTTCTTAAAACTATGAACTAGTATTCTAAAACCCAGATGGGGGTACTTTAAAGAGTACTTTAAAGATTTTCTACTGTTGAGAGTTCTTATAAATTTGTGACTGTCATCTCTGTCATGCCTGAATGAAAAAGTTGCAAATATATAAAGAGGAAAACCTGAGGATTAATGCATAATCACACACATTTGTGTACCTGTTTTAAAATCTGCATCTTCCATTAAAAAAGAAACAATGGGGAGGCCGAGACGGGCGGATCACGAGGTCAGGAGATCGAGACCATCCTGGCGAACACGGTGAAACCCCGTCTCTACTAAAAAAATACAAAAAAACTAGCCGGGTGAGGCGGCGGGCGCCTGTAGTCCCAGCTACTCGGGAGGCTGAGGCAGGAGAATGGCGTAAACCCGGGGGGTGGAGCTTGCAGTGAGCTGAGATGCGGCCACTGCACTCCAGCCCGGGTGACAGAGCCAGACTCCCTCTCAGAAAAAAAAAAAAAAAAAAAAAAAGAAACAATGATATGCCTGTGTACATGTATTTTTTCTGCTAGCAAAATTCTTGTGTTCATAGGACTTGAAGTTGCACTACTATGTAAAATGTGAGAAACACTGTAATAGACTGACAAGACTTTTAAGATTATGAAATCAGAGTAGGGAGAACAAAGACTAGAATGTGGCTAAATGTGAGGTAGAGATACTTCCTAGAAAAATGTAAAGCTTCAGAAACAAGGTTTTAAGAACTAGGTATGATAGGCAAAGCAATGGGGAGGACAATCCTGTTTTCCTGTTAAAGCTTAAGACTTCAACACTATGATATTAATAAAAAATAAAAATAGCCAAAAAAAGAATAAATGGATTAATCTCTAAAATTCCACACAATGCTGCAGACAGAACAAAGCATTTATTACACTTACATACTGAATTAACGTAATTTATGTTGTACAGCATCTTAACAAATTAAGTTCATCAATATTTAGCAATAATATATGTGACTTTTCCTGCATTAGGCATTAGAGTTGCAGAATAACATAAATAAACAAGTTCCTTGACACTGATTATTTTCAACACTATGTAACAATTGCCAAAGCATAATGTGAAAAGAAACTTCTTGAAAAAAAAAGCAATCACATAGTGCTTAATGTCTATATTTACCTGTTTGGCTTCTGTCTGAGCTTTACTTATATCATTTTTACAGGCCATCATTTGACCAGCAAGAGTTGCTTCTGCTCCATCTTCATTACTGGACAGGCCAGCGGAAACAGCATTGAAGTGCTGCTGTGCAGCCGCCAGAGCTTCAGCATCTTTATTACTTGCTTCTTGAAGGGCATGCAGTCCATCTGTTATCTTTTTAACTTCTTTTTCCTTTGCTGCTAAAGTTTTAGAGTCCTTTAGGAAGAGTTTCAAATGGAAAAATAATGTATTTCAGGAAAAACATCCAGTTTCTTATACGCATATACCCTTATGTAATCAAATTCCATAGCAATTTGGAGTGAGCATAATAAAATAATTTAACCATCATAACTGTATATAAATACTGAATTATCATTTTGAAATTACAGTTTTTAGAATAAATATAACTCTTATACTACTTGAAATATTTTCATTCCATGTTATAAATTAAATCCATGAGACACTGGGCTAAATAATAATTGCAGATTTAAACAAATCTCTTGAAGGGACTAAAAATGAATTTCTAAAACTGTAAAACTGAAATAACAGACATCCTACACTAAGCTTAAAAGTAGAGATTTTAGAATTAAGAGTATGTATATGAAAGTATTTTATAAACTGTCAAGAGCCATAAAATTTGAGCACTAAATAGTTATAGAAAAAGTATTACTATTATGTAATACCTTTTAGGTAATATTAACCAGATATCTGACACTACACAAGATACCAGCCCTGAAAAAAAGAAAATCTAACTATCTTATTTACAATTAAAGTGACAACAAATTTTGGCCCACTTGATTAGTTCATGATTCATCATTTATGAAGTGCTTACTGTACAGCAGGCCCTGTTCTAAGACATTAAAGACACAGACTAAGTCGCTGTTCTAAGGGAGCCTATATTCAAGGTTAGAAGACATGGTAAACAAACAAAACAAGGTTGGGGAATACAGTGATAGGAACTCTTACTTCAAGAAGAATAAGAGAAGGCCTTTGAGATGCCATTTGAAGGGAAGACTGGATGAAATAGGAGGAGTGACCGTGCAAATACTTGTGGGGCAGTATACTTGAAAGCCCTGAGGAACATGTTTGAATATTTGAGGAAATGGACTAGGAGCAGAGTGAGTAAATGGTTAAGGAGCCAAGAGTCATATCATGAAGCACCTTGCAGGCCATGGTAAAGACTTAGATTTAATTATACAGCTGATCCTTAAACAAGATGGGAGTTCGAGTACAGACCCACCATACAGTCAAAAATCACATATGCTTTTGAACCCCCCAAAAACTTAACTACTAATAGCCTACTGTTAACCAAAGCCTTACCAATAACACAATTAACTTATATTTTGTATGCTACATTATATATTGTATTCTTGCAATAAAGCTAGAAAAAAGAAAATGTTAAAAGCATAAGAGAAAATACATTTACAGTATTGTAGTATATTTACTGACACGATAAGTTTACATCATCTGTTTACAAGATAAATCATCTGTCTGGAAAGGAAGGCAACCACAGCTGCACACCTCAATCTATGGTACATTATCAAGCAACTCAACTGTTTCTTGTAGCATCCTGACTTCTCTCTGCTTTTTGGGAGCATTTTCAGTATCACTAGTGCCACTTCATACAGATCCCATGTTATTCGGGTTTATGGTATTGCACTAAACATGAAAAATACACGAGAACCACAAGACATCACTTTCTACCGAGCTCTGCAACTTACTGGAAACGTGAACTACTCAGAAGTAAACGATTAATGCCACACTGAGTTTACTTGAGCTCACCACCATAGCAACAGGAGGTGGCTACAAAAGTATTACAATAGTGTAGTATGTTCTATAGTTTTATGTAGTTATTTAATATTGCATCTTTACATTTGTTTACATTTCTCTGAACTACAAATAGTGCCAAGTACGGTGTTTTAAGTTTTGAAAAACTTTAACTTTTTATAATAGATTTTTGTATATTTTATGGTAGTAAATGATAAAATAGACTAGTATCTACATATATGTTGTGCATTTATGACATACTTAACTTTTTCTTAATTTTTTTGATATTTCTAGGCCATATGGTATTTGTTTGCAAGTTTTTTCAAACTGTTGCAAACCTTCAAATAATTTTCCAATATATTTATCGAGAAAAATCTGCTAATAAGTCGATCCACGCAGTTCAAACCCATGTTGTTCCAGTGTCATACAGCGTACATGTAATTTAGAAACCACTGAAGGATTTTAAGCACAGGAGTGATGTGATTCAATTTACATTTTAGCTTCTGTAAAGAACAGACTATAGAGTGGCAACAGGAAAAAAGTAGGGCAACTAATAAGCACATTATTGCAGTAGCCCTCATGAGAGGTGATGGTTTGAATGAAGTTGGCAGTAATGGAGGTAACAAAAAGTGGCTGTATTCTGAATACTTTTAAAGTTAACAGAATTTATTGATAGACTGGATCTAGATATTTAAAGAATGGCGAGAATCCAGAGGACTCTTAAGATTTCTGGCCTCAACAATTAGGTAAATAGTGGTACCATTTACTGACATAAGGAAAATTCAGTAACTCAGGTGGGTCTGGGTAGATGAGGAAAATTCCTAAATTCTATTCTGGAAATGTTAAGTTTTACACTTTTTAAAAGTCATCCAAGTAAAAATGTTAATTAAGTAGCTGGACGAAGAAATCTACAGTTTGTTGGACAGTCATCTGGATGTCATTAGACTAATCTTGTTCTCCCTTTCTCAGTTGTGGTTCTCAAAAATAGCTGTAGAATGTGCTAGAAAATGCAACATTCTGATTGAGGGAATGGCCTGAATAATCCACACTCTATTTCAGTTCCCTCCTAGAAATATGCATGTCTTTTCATGCTTTAGCTCAGCAACTCATGTAAACCAGTGCTGACCACCCCCATTTCTCTATTTCTGTGGTATAAACCCAGGGCAGGCTGGGTTTATAGCCTGGGGTATAAACCCAGCACAAGCTGCTTTCTGGGGTCCCTCAGCTGTATGGGGAACACACAGATGAAACTCCATCCAACACTTGTGGGAATGGCCCACCATGAAACCTAGGCTTTTACTATTACTGCCTATCTGTAGGAAATAAATTTGCTTCATATAACTTATGCTGTATGAGTGAGTTCCATTAACACTGACAAGTTGGTAACTAGTACATAGTGAACTTGTTTCATACCATCAGTGCTGTTAGTAGGGTCTGCTCTGACAGAACCATGGCTTACTGATAAAGCTTGAATGGCTTCACCCCTTCGCCTCCCTGCCCCCAATACCCAGCCTAGGGCAGAGATATCACCCTAAAGGGTTGAGGGGCTTGGATATGCAGCTGGATGTTTTATGGAGGAGCCATAATAAATGGAATATAGATGACCCCCTCAATGAATGAGCTGGCTGCATGAATTGAGGCAGAGCAAGAAACAGAAATGGGGGAGCTCAGCACATGATCCCCTGGTTGTTTGACACATGTAATTGCTCATTCCCAGGGCCAGACAGCTCAGGAAGCGGGTAGTCAGATGGCTCCTGAGAGGGAACAGGAAAGAGGTACTCAGACAGTCCCTGAGGCATCTGAGAGAACCAACACACACAACGCAGGCCTCATAGAAAATGAAGCTCACTATCTAGAGGATGAGTATACAGAAAGGCCAGGAAAGGCTTATGCAGCCTGGTTGAAGTGTTTGTTTGATAAAGGGACACTGTGGATCCAAATGGCTAAATGGAATAGTTTAGAGCAGGACCAAGGTCTCCAGGTCCCCACCAGAGATGGCCCTATACTCCTGTTAAGATGAGAAAAAGAAATGAAAGTAGGCTTTTCTGGAGTTCTTGGATGCTGGAGCCCACAGGACTTATTTCCAGTTTTCCTAGGGGAAAGTTAAACTGATGACCATGGGAGGGTTTCAGGCAAATGTAATGACTCCCTATGCTTACGTGCTGTGAGTAGATACTTTGTGTCACTTTGGGTGCTGGTGACCACAGTTCCCTCCACTGAGTATGGATATTGATAGTTTGGTTGCTTGTGGTGCAGAACATCACCACCACCTGAGGAGGTATGTCCCTCGCTGCTAAGAATTGGAGCTATACCCGTGGCACATATCCACCCCGGATAACTAAGACTTCATAAGTTATTCAAGACTTACCCAAGACCTCATAAGTTACTCAATGAAAGCAGTACTGCATACCAAATGGAGAATAAGACACTACTTTCTTAATTCAAAACCCACTATAGATAAAAATGTCACAATGCATTGGCCTAGTCTGGCTGGTCAGACAGGCCTTTGGGGCATGAAGACTAATGGATGGTCATAAGCTGAATGTCAAGGTCACTTGGACAGAAAGCCAAGGAAGTATCCCAGATATAGTCAAACAAAAATGGTTGGTGCTGGTGACACTTACTAACAAAAAAGAAGCCCCACAGCTGGTAGGTCTCTTGGGTACTAAACACAGCATATAACCCATGTGGGTGTTTTTTTGGCCCCCTTTAATCCTGGTGACCAACAAAGCTGCCAACTTTAAACAATGGACTTTGCAGTAGCAGGCCTTAGAAAACAATGTAAAGTGGTGGCCTTGCTGCTGCTTTTAAAACATTTACAGTCTGTTAGTCTGACGCAATGACAGGTGTCCACAACCACCAAGAACGCTGACTGGAGTCTATGGCAACAGAAACTTGTCACTGGGGAGACCTAGCCTCTTCGAAGTTGAACTTTAAGTTGCTTGAGGCAGCCACCCGATACAACTCTTGGAATGTAACTTTTTGCTTGCTGTTGTGCACTGGTGGAGACTGTGTGTCTTCAGGCTAGAGCACTACATGTGACTCTGTGACTTAAACTGCCCACACTTGGGTGCTAACAACAACAAAAAAAACCCTATCAATGAATTGGAGCAGACTCAAAAGAGCTTGATTATCATACAGAAATGGTACATTTGAAATCAAGCCCAGTTGCAACCCCAAGGGACCAGGGGGCTTCATGAAAAAAATGGCTTGCTTATTAGAAGGGTCCAAACAACCCACAGGGGATGCTTTGGCTTCTCCTCTGGCTCCCTGGGTCCTAAGATTCTGAGATGTGCCTACCAATGGTATGGCGTGATTTACTGAAAGTTGCATCAAACAAAACAGGAGGGATCCTCTTGACTGTAGCCACCATCAGGCCAATAAGTGGTCATCTTTTGACTGAGGCTGAACATGGACATTATGATCAATGGGTCAAACTACATGCAGTGATGATGTCCATTTGGGCCACCCCATCGCCATATCTTGCTACATTTCACCAAGTCATAGGCTGTTGCCAACAGCCTAGCCATCTGGTCAGCAGAAGGGCAACTTAGTGACTGGACTGTTAAAAAAAAAAAATCCCCTGTGTGGGCCGGGCATGGTGGATCACACCTATAATCCCAGCACTTTGGGAGGCTGAGGCAGGCAGATCACCTGAGGTCGGAGTTTGAGACCAGCCTGACTAACATGGAGGAACCCTCTCTCTACTAAAAATACAAAATTAGCCAGTCGTGGTGGTGCATTCCTGTAATCCCAGCTACTTGGGAGGCTGAGGCAGGAGAATTGCTTGAGCCCAGGAGGCAGAATGCAAGGTGTAGTGAGCCGAGATCGCGCCATTGCACTCCAGCCTGGGCAACAAGATCGAAACCCCATCTCAAATAAATAAGTAAATAAAATAAAATTTTAAAAAATCCCCTCTGTGGAAACAAGGACATGCTTTCTGAAAGCGACAAATATATGTCACTCATATGGACCCTGATGCTACCCTTGAAAGAAACGTCATTTTTTTAATACTTCATCATATTTCACTCTGACCAAGGAACATCTTTCACTGCCCAACCTGCATGATAATGGGCATTCTCTTGTGGAATACAATGGACTTTCCATGCACCCTGTTATTCACAAGCCAATGGAGCTAAAATGAAGCAACGAAAATGAAACAATGAAATAGCCTACTCATAAAGTAACTGAAGGATATCAAGGTGGCCTGTTAGTGAGGTGGTACCAACATCTGACTAGGGCATTATGGACTTAAACACTGTACTTTAGCACAAAGGAAACACAGCACTGCAATGTATAGCCCAATCCCTATGATAGCTCGGGAACATCTGAGATCGCAGGAGAGTGTTAGGTGGGAACATCTGAGATCCCAGGAGAGTGTTAGGTGGGAGCACTAACCTGTCAATACACTTTTTCCACAAGGATGTGGCAGCAAAGACCTGGAAGCAAAACACCTCCCAAGCTGTGGCCATGGCGGGTAACATAAGATGTTAGACATGATATCCAGGAACTTTCTGTCATAGCCCACAGTGACAATCTGGTCCTGCTAGCAGTGAACTACCCTAGCATTCCTAATGTCACAGTGTACGTCAATAGACCCCAAACCCTGGCTTACATGAGAGGACATAGCATCTGTCACATAAAAGGGTGCTAAAAATGGCATTTTGACTTAACTGTGGCAAAATGTCATGATGAAACATAACATAACCTCAATGGGTGTGTCCCACTGGTGACGAAGGAAACACAATGAACTAGTGCAAGCCCTCTGTGTAGGAGCTTCATGAACAATTTTGTATGGGGGAAATTGAACTTATGCAACTATACCACTAATGAGATTTAGCTGGCAAACGCTAATGCCTCCCTACCCATGAATGGGGTCACTGAACAGTAAAACGGGGGAAACGGTGCTATGTAAGTTTATATAAAAAGGCTGAAGCCCTGGGATACTTTCAACATTTGAATGTTAGGATAGTTCAACATTCAAGAGATTGAGTACTGTGAGGAAAATTAGGCCAGTAAGTTGTCCTGGAGTCCAGGTAAAAAAGACGTTTGCCAAGGACAACATCATTTTCCATGGGCAGTGTAGGAGTGACCCAAACAGAAGATGGGCGATGTCAGGCCTGGAAAGCTGGCAGATGGTGGGATCCTGTACGTTGGGCATGCTGGGGGATGCCCCTACGTATCACTCCTAGAAATGAGATGCATTCTAGGGCCAGCAGCCTAAAGCTGTACAACAGATTTACTCAGGACCTACCAAGAGGTTTTACTGACTCTCGGTTTAAGTGCTTTATAAAATCTTCGGTACCATACATAACATTGCTTTTCAGCCCAGCAGATATCCCTTGGGAAGGTTGTTTTAGACAACTGCTCTAAATCTGTTAGCACAAGTGGAAAGAGCGTATGTGGTTGCCAACGCTTCCTGCTGTACCTAGATAAACACCTTAGGTACTGCAGAGCCACAAATACAGATCTGGAAGCAGGTCTGAAGGATCCTTCTTTGACCTCTTTAACAACTTCATATCTGGATTACTGGGATCCTGGGCTGAGTCAGTGCTCCAGGCAGGCCTGATCATCCTGCTTGTAGTCCTCCTGGGCACAGTGAAATGTATTCTGGCTATGGCTCAACAATACTGCAATGAGATTACGTCAGTCAGAGTGTTATATCCATCTAAGACAAACCTCCTTCTCCTTCAGATTCAGAGAAGTCTGTGGGCATAATAAAAGGACTAGCTTTGCTAGTGTGGGAACCTAGATTGGAGGATAAACTACAAGACAACTCCTTAGGTGGCACTAGACTAAGCCAGTTCTTCCCTCTCTGGCTTATAGTTCTCAAGAATAACTGTAGAATGTGCTGATAATGCAATATCCCGAGAAAGGGAGGCAATGGCTGGAACAGTCAGGACTGTTCCTGTCTGCTCCTCCAGCTGCCCTAAAACAGAATCTCAATGCTTCAGCCCAGTGTCTCATGTTACTCCAGGGTATAAACCCAGAGCAGGCTGTTTTCTGGGGTCCCTCAGCTGCTGTGCAAGTTGGGCACATGCAAATGAAATTCTAACCACCTTAGGCAGCTTTTCTGAGCCTTGGGGGATCGCCTTGCAATGAATCCTAGACTTCTGTTTTCCCTTGTTGCCTATCAATAAGTAATAAATCCATTTCACATAAAATGTTGTGTATGAATGTGTTCTGTCTACTGTCCTCAGACAAGCTGGTAACCTGCATACAATAAACCTGCTTCAAAGAGTTCAGGGAGTTAAGACTGCTTAGAGATTTGGAAGGTATCAACATATAGATGATATTTAGAGTTACAGACCTGGATGAGACCACCTATGTCATGAACATTTATAAAAGATATCAGAGTGCTAGCCTTAGGGCATACTAACATTAAGAGATCTAAAAGAATAAGGGATACAGAAAAGAAGGATGAAAAAGGAGCAATCAGTGTGTGAAGCTTAAGGACATGACAAGACTAAAGAAAAATGAACCCAAAACAAGGCAGGCCCACACATTTAGAGCTCTACAAAACCTTAAAAAAAAAAAAAGTAATTGGTGATTTGATTTCAGTTGTTGGATGTCACAACACAGACTGCTACATCACATTCATATTGCTTCAAAATTTTGTCTAAATTTTCCTCCTCTGTTTCTTAATTCAACCACTGTATTTCTCTGCAAAAATATCTAACAGGGCAATATAAAGAAATTATTTTCAAAAAGTTAATTTTTCTTCAGTGAAAAGGCAAATGTATATCTTCACTGGGACAACAGAATCACCCTCAAAAGAAATGCCATAAGCTCCAAAAACACACCTACTCATCTACCTACATATGAGACTATATACTTGACTCTTCTGTTACCATGGATGACCTATTCCTAGTTCTCATGAAGGTGACCTCTATACGTTAGTTCCTATCCTACTTTCAGCTACTAAAGGGCCCTATTTTAACAACTCTTCCATCTCTCTCTCCTGAATTACAAATGACGCCTTTTCTACTGGATCTTTTCTGTCAATATAGAATTGATTTATCCCATGTAAAATCAAGCCAAAAAAACTCTTTCTTCTGTATTACCCTCCAGTTAGCTCCCTATTTCTCCTTCTTTCAGAAAACTTCTCAAAAAGTTATCTATAGTCACTTTTCTTTTTTCTGCTTTCATTCTGTCAGAGTATGAATACAATCTAATCAGGTACTCACGGACACTCCTCCTTGAAATATCTTTTTTACCTGAACTCCAGGACAACTTACTCGCCTAATTTTCCTCACGCTACTCAATCTGTTTTGAATGCTGAACTATCCCAACATTCAAATATTGAAAGTATCCCAGGGCTCCAACCTTCTTATATAAACTTACAGCCTTGATCATTTTATCTAGTCTCACGGATTTAAATAACACCTATACATTGATGATCCCTCCAAATTTGTATTTTTGCCTGGATTCACTATTCATATATTTAAGTACCTAATCAACATCACTACTCAAGATGTCTTAACAGGCTCCTCACGCATATTACATTCACACTGTATTTCTTAAGCTTATCAAACCTGTTCTCCCTACTCTCCACCTTACTTCAATGGCTACCGAACTTAAAATCCCAAACTGTACCCTTTTTCCTCTACACCCCTAATCCCCTTCCCTGCTTTACCTTTTTTCCACATCAGTTATCACTATATAACATGTTACACGTTTTATTTATTTTTTTTATTATCATTTCCCCCAATGGAATGAACGTCCACAAGGCAAGGACTTCTGACTATTTGGTCCAGTTGTAACGCCAGCCCAAACAACTGTACTTAGCGTATAGCAGACACTCACTAAATATTCATGGAATAGATAAATGTACACTAGTGAGACTATACACTTGTCTACAAGTGGCACTAGTGGCACATTAAGCTCACTTACCTCAATCATATTTTTTTCCAGCTCTTTGCGTTTGCTTTCTTCACATGCCAGATTTTTCTTTTTGAGATCAAATGCACTTTGAGATTTAGTATTAACTCGCTGAGCCTCTGCAAGAGCATCTTCTAAAGATCGAAGTATACCTCCAATTTCCTGTAATAAAATGCAGCCAAGTCAGTCATTTATATAAAATTTGTTCATGTTGTCATTTTATTGTATGAGTTCTGTATCAAATACTTTTTTATAAGTTATTTCATTATCTTACTATAAGATTAAGAAATCAATACAACAGACAATGCCCACTGAATCCTAGTTACCAAAATGTAGTACGTTTTCCACACAGTATATTATCGATTCTAATACATATGTTCAGACCTTATCTTTTCTTTTTTCCAGTTCTTCTATTTCATGATTAAGTGCTTTTATTTTTTTATCGTTCTCAGACAATTCTTCCTGAAGCTTTATAATTTTATCTTGCATTTCTTTTAACTCCTCAGCTGAGCGTGCTTTGGTATCTTCAGCCAGCAAAAACTGGTAAGCAATATATAAACGACTCAAATGTTCTATTTCTCTCATCACTTTTTGGTACTCCAAGTAGGAAGATCTTTCCTGAAAGGGAAGTTGCAAAAAAATAGTAACTCAAAATTGTATTTAAAAAAATTTAATTATGCAAGATGTATCAAACTTCTCATTACATGATGCAATAGATTTTGTCCTGTATTAAACAATTATAACATCTTAAATTGTAGGATACTTTACACAACATTAGAAGTCAGGACTTTCAGATAGCATTATAACTTCTCTAGTGAATCTTATTTGGCTACTTCTTCTAACAAATAATTGGGTAGCTGAGCTTAACAAAGAAATATGGACATAAAGTTCGTAAGCTAGTGTTAATAAGTCTGTTAAAGACCACTTACACACCCACCAATGATACACTATTACACAGATTCTGTAGTAGTATTACCAAGATGCCTACTCTAATATTCTTTGAAGCACTACTATAAGCACTTGCTCACATCATTACTAAACATGATTCCCATAAGGACCTAATGGGACCAGACAAAGTAATAACTAAAATCCTTAATTTACACATAAAAATCAAATTCAGAATGATGAAATGATCTGTCCATGTTGTTAGATTTAGGAAGAAATTGTGGCAAAATCAAGTCGAGGACCTAAGTTTAAATTCCTGATCTAGTGTTTTCTACTAAATCATGCATACAAAAAGGGTACCTTCAAGACCACAATTTTTCCAGTAAAATCTACACTACTATATGGATTCACAAGACAGCTCTGAGTAGTACCAAATTTCAATGAGCATTTATTAAATTCCTAAATGGATATCTTTTAAAACGTTGTTTGGCTGGGCACAGTGGCTCACTCCTGTCATCCCAGCACTTCACGAGGCCGAGGTGGGTGGATCACTTGAGCCCAGGATTTCAAGACCAGCCTAAGAAACGACGAGAAACCCCATCTCTACAAAAAAAAAATAAACTAGCAGGGTGTGGTGGCATGAATCTATAGTCCCCAGCTACTCAGAAGGCTAAGGTGGGAGGATTCCTTGAGACTGGAAGGTGGAGGCTGCAGTGAGCTGTGATCACACTACTGCACTCCACCCTGGGCGACAGAGTGAGACTTGTCTCAAGAAAACGAAAATGTAGCTCATAAATGTATTCTTTCATGAAATACTGCCATGTCTTTTGATATCAGGAGCAGCAAAGATTATAGAGAAAACCCAATCCTCTGTTTCAACACCTTCTGCTTACAAAATACCTTGACAGCAATAATTATAGTGATAGCCCCTCTTATCCTGGAAATTGTTCACTCTACCAATGAGGGTGTCTAAGGGTGCCATTATCTTTAAGAAATGTTGTTCCAGTCAATCCTATTTATCTAAAAAAATCCAGACTTGCTTAGCTTCAATAAAGTATTAAAATTCAGCATAACATTTTCTGAAACTATAAATATTACTCTCCAATATCCTATGACTCAGTAGATAAGTATATATCCTCTGCAAGCAGAAGGCTCAATTATGGACTGCCAACTCTAATTCCTTATCTCATCGCAGGAAAAAAACCCCGAAGAAATAGTATCACCATGTGTATGATTTTGGATACATCGCTGACTTTGAAAGACATTCTAACAGATTATCCTCAAATATACAGAATATACCTCTTTTAATTTTTGAATGGTTGGAGTAATCTCTTCTTCAAGTATCTGGAAAACAAAGAAAAATCAGTATTTTTAGCATGTAAAGTACTATTAAAATGTATTTGAAAGAGAAGTAGCATGGATGGCTATGGAAAACTGAACGAAGAAAAAAAATTTTTCCCTCTTTACAGCAAAAACTCTACATGCAAAATTACATTCTTCTCCAAAAATGTTTTATATGAATTAAATTACCGTCTTAATTTCTTTCAGCTTAGCCTCCTTTTTTTCTATAGTTTTCTGTGCAGCTATTTTTTTGTATTCATACATCCTGGTTCCAGCTGCTTCTTCTATCATGGATAAAATCTGGAATGACAATTTTATTAACGTTTAGTATCCAAGACAATGTGTCCAACTGGAATTTACATTAAATATAACATTTTTGCCTTGACCTCACTAAACATCTTATCAAAATTTGGCCCAAATGAACCATTAAAGTTAAATACCGTAATTTCACACAAATCTTTTCCTGTAGGCTTGTTCTGTAGGAATGAATTCTGACATGAAACACCAGTTGAGTAAGACTCCTTTACACGATCAAAATCAATTTTAATATCTGGGCATAGTGCCAAACACTACACAGATATACAACTGTCTTTACTAATCATTCCTAAACAATGTTTCAAAAAATTTTAATAATATTTAAAAATTGTCTGAAAGATTAAATATCTATACCAACTATTTTTAATGTCCATAAATAGTACTCTTACCTCTGGAGGTTTCATATTCAATACTTTTGTAATTCGGCCCTGAAAATAAAATGGAAACTTACTAAGATAACAAATTACAGAAAACGTTTATCTGTACTACCATTCATGTTTATCTAGACTGAAGCTGCTTTATCTCATTTTACCAATCTTTGGGGATCTTTCCTTTATAATTCTTCCATGATTCTAGAATTTTGGGACTTTACTATTAACTTTCCCACTTACCAGTGATACAAATTATGGAAGTTAGGAAATGATACAAATGAAATAATTCATTAAATGATACAAAGTTAAAAAGGACCATGTTTCTGAGACAGTTAACATTCCTAAGTAGAAATATTCAATTTTAAAACAGGTAAATATAAAAAGAAATTGTGGCATAATTAATAAACTTTTAAAATTTATTTGAATGATAACCCTCCAGGATAATTCACAAAACAGATGACATACTTCTAGGCTTCAAATAAAATAAAATATTTTATATCAATGCCAGTAAACCATTAAATTCATTCATTATCAAAAACAAGTAAAACAAAACACCTGCATGCCTAGGTCTCAGAGAATCGTATTACTAGAATGTAGATTCACTTAAAAGTAAGTTTTCAACTCTGAAGGTGTGTAGTGGAAATATTTTTATTTTGGTCCCACTGAGATGCTCCCATTGACTTTACTGTAATTCTCTCAAACGATAGCTGGATGGGTCAAATGACATAATGTAAATGTAAGATAAAATCAGCCTTTACTCCTCATTTGTGTCTCTAAATAAGCAAATTATTCAAACTTTTATACTTGAAATATTAAGATGCATTAATCCAATAATTTAAAAGGACATATTATGGCTTGCTTTCTTTTTTTTTTTTTACAGTTAACATGTATTGTTCTTTTAGTGACAACATAAAAAGTCAAGAAAAATTACTCCTAAACATTCTAGAGGAGTCAAAGGTCTATAATACAGTAGAATATATCACTGCAAGTAACTAAACCACATTTCTTAACAGATGGCCAGACACAGCACAATAGTAAATAAAAAGTATAAAATCCATAACATATGGTACTTTTATTTTAACTGCTTAAATGTAAAACATGTCAACACTATTACGAAAGTGACATAAAGACCTCAAACAAAATACCTGCATGATGAGAAAGTGAGGGTTGTTAACATTAAGGCCAACAGAACAGAAGAGATCCTGTACTCTTGTGTTGTTAGCATTGACTCCATTGATTAAATATTTATTTCTACCACCAATAACCACCTATAAAAGAAAGCAATTTTAAAAATATTCATGTACATGCACACCTTGAGCTAGGATAAATTACTAAGCATATTAGCTTACGTTTATTTGTTCTGTCCAACTAGCAGTAAACAAAACCAATTCTGCATAAATAGTGGAACAAGTATGACATGGCTAAAAACACTAACTTGAGTCAGGACAACCGGCGTTTAATGCAAGTACTTTTGCTAACTAATTATGTAATTACACACAAGCCTCTTACCCTGGCCTGCACCAGACTAGGTCTCCAAGGTTACCTTCTAGCTTTATGTTTCCAAGTATATGTAAAACATACTTTCCTTTCCTAGTTACCTTCTTTCTGTAACTTTTCTACAGAGGCTTTCTCTACTTTTCAACAGGAACAGAAGTCAGACAAAGTAGCCTGACATCAATTCTTGACAAGATTCAAAAAGCTATTAATAAAGACATGATTTGTGACCATTTAAAAGAAAGGGTAATCACAGAGCTTCAGTATGGTTTCATTAAGTCATCTCAGACACCATACTCTACTATCACACTTAAATTGTCATTTATTGGGTATGACTGTCTCACCTACCAGATTGAGGTCCTTAAAGACAAGTTCTGTTTCTCATTCTTCTAACTACATCCCAGTACATTCAAGAACACCCAATATACATCAAGTATTTAATAAACATTGAATAAATATTGGTTCATTTATTTTCCTGATAGGACTACTAGGTTGGTAGTTCATATATTAAATGTATTTGAAGAGACCTCTCTGACAAAAACTTTATAATTTTGGTGAAGATACAAGTTTATAGCCTGAATGAGGACAGGAACAATTAGGTAGATTATTAGTAAGAGACTTAGTGACAGTTCCTAAAGGATAAATATTTGATGGATGCCTAATGACACAGAACAGGATTCTGTCCTAACCTAGCCTATATTTCTTTTTTTTTTTTTAAATCAGAGGCTTCCATTAAAATAGAGGAGAAAATCTGTAAGTGATAAATGATAAGATGGACAGTAAATGGGAGTTGACTACATTTTTAAAAACAAAACCTTGGGCTGGGCACGGTGGCTCACGAGGCCGAGGCGGGCAGATTACAAGGTCAGGAGACTGAGACCACCCTAGCCAACACAGTGAAATCCCATCTCTACTAAAAATACAAAAAAAAATTAGCCAGGTGTGGTGGTAGGTGCCTGTAGTATCAGCTACTCAGGAGGCTGAGGCAGAAGACTCTCTTGAACCTGGGAGACGAATATTGCAGTGAGCTGAGATGGTGCCACTACACTCCAGCCTGGGTAACAGAGCAAGACTCCGTCTTCAAAAAAAACCAAAAAACAAAAAACAAAACAAAACAAAAAACATTGACAAGCTGAAAACACTGCCTGACTATATTAATAACACACATAAAAAAAAAGCTCTACTGAGAAAAATAGAAGTAGAATGTCTAAAATGAAACAATAACTCTAACTAGACCGATTTCAGTACACTCAATCTAAGGTGTCATTAAAAGATAGATAGATGAATGCAGGGGCAGGGAGGGAAACTGGAGCATACCTGGTATAATCAGGCAAGTGAAGGAACTAGGAACAAACATCAATGAAAGACCTGGTAAGATTTCACTTAGAACTAAAACACATATGCTTGCAGATCACTTGAACACTGAAGTAGGGAATAAGTCAGATTTGCTCTTAGTGCTCTCAAGAGGACTAGGATTAATGAATAAAATTTGAAGACAGCAGACTCTGACAAAATTTATAGGGGTAACTTTCTAGTAAGACCTGTCCAAAAACAGAATGGGTTATCTCAGAAGACTGCAAGATCTCAAGTACACAGGTGTTCAAGAACAGCCAGAGAAGATTCAAGTATGGTTTAAGATTTCAGCATAGCTGAGTGCTTATACCGGATGAATAACTTTTCAGTTCTCTTTCAGTTCTCTTAGTGATAGAGTGTACATGATCAAAATTTTAATGTAAGGAAGATATTAAGGAATCTAGTCAGAATTTAAGGCACAAATTTTGCTCATCAACTTTCTCTAGCACGTTTTGCAAAGGCATAGGGCCAAAAACCACATCAGACATAAAAGGTCTTAAGATATCGAAATGTTTAATAGCCACTCACCTGCCTTGTTACTGTGATTTCATCATGAACCTCAAATCCTAAAGGACTTTGCTTTTTGTCAGAATTATCAAATGTGATTGACACAGAGGCTTTGGTAATACCAGCCTGCCCATTTTTGTAAACTAAATCTTGTAAATTAGAAGCTCGAACCTTAAATAAAAGAAGAAAAGTGTATCAATTACAAAACTCCCTACAAAGCAGCACTAAAAATGAATTCCTTGCTGTTGGAAAACCCACCAACATAGTGTCCACTAAGCAGACAAGGATAGGCAGCTGCATACTCTGGCAAGGAAAATAGGTAACAACCTGAAATGGACACTTTTCTCTATAGAACCTTTTCAACTCTGAATTGAATTGTTTCCTATTCATTTTTTAACAAAAAGTTACTTGGCAAGATATAAGGAACGACAGTCCCAATGATTTTCACTAGTCATTCAATCTATTAGCAGGATTTGAAAAGGCATCATTACACAGGGTTGAAAATACTCTGGAATGAGACTACTTTACAGTCAGAAAGCCTGAGTTTTGAGGCATTGTTACTTATAAATATCTCCAACATAAACATCTCTATGTTTCTATTTTCTCATCTAAAGGAGTAATAATAGTTTCCTTAAAAGGTGACAGTGAGGTGTAATTTACAAAAAGTATAAAAACACAAATGAAGAGAATATTGTTAAGTCTCCAAAGTTCAGGGAGGATTCTCCTGCCCACTTAAATTTAAATAAATCAGAAAGTTTACACTTTACCTGAGACAGGTTGGAGATGCCCAGCAAAAAGCAGATGGAGTCCAATATGTTTGATTTTCCACTACCATTTAAGCCAGTGATAGCATTGAAGAGGGGGTCAAAACCATTGACTTCGGTTCTCTGAGCATAGGACTTGAATCCCTCTAGAATAATTGACTTAATATGCATTTTCGATACTGTCTTGGGTCAGCAAACCTCTGACAGGAATCAAACAGGCCACAAACCAGTTCTGTACGAAACAGAAATACCACCACCTAAGTGGAATGTAAACCTGGAATCATAATGAACACTAGGCAAAAACGGTAATGATAGGGTAATAGAAATAAAACAGCCACTTGACAAACTATCTTGTCTGATGTAAAGACATCGTTCATCTACTCAAAAATATAACAGAGTTAGCCACTATCTGGAAATTAAACCATTCAACTGGGAAGTCTTAACTATTTCTTACACCTGTTTTTCCAGGCTTGCCTTCTACTTTCATCATACTCTAGCTAATAAAGACTACGGATTATTTCATACCCCATTATCTTTGCCCACAATGTGCTTTTTTCTGATACTGACGTAGCTTACTCTCTACTGCACTCACGTCTTTGCTCAAATGTGTCACCCTACTGGAGTCCTCCCTGACCTCCCTGTGTCACCTCTCCACACTTCTTCACTCGGCTTTTTCCTTCATGGTACTTAAAACTGGTATTAGACGGTCATTACTTGTCTGTAAGTTCCTGTAGTATCTTCACCTACGTTCATCATTGCATCCCCGAATTGTGCTTGACTCCGGGAGGAGGGGAAGTCATCTAAGTATTTACTAAGGATGAGATGTATCTCATACTCTCCACCGTCTTGCTTTTACTCAGGCTGTTACTTCGCTTCTTGAGGCCTGTCTACACCTCTTCGCCCTACTCCAAGGCCGAATAGGAACTAGCCTTTATTTCTAAGGATCACCTAAGGTCCTCCTCCCCATAGCCCCCGCGTCCCGCCTCCCGCCAGGATGTCTAGCCGGGCTCAACCGGCCGTGCTCACGCACACGCCTCACCGCTGCCTCAGGCCAGGGCTTGACGCACCCCAAAAGCTCCTCCGGGTCACAAAGGCGGGGAGCAGGCCAACTCTCTAGCCGCGGCTGCTACGAAGAGAACTTCACCATAGCGGATACAACACCTGCCGCACCGCTCTCACCCGCGCCGGAACTATTTATTCCTTTGAATTTCGGCGCGAGCAAAGGACCCCACCTCCATTGCTTATTTCCTGTGCTGGTGCCTAGGAGCTGCCTGTCTTTAGGATTCCATTTTTCCCCTACACGCGAAGGATTAACGCTTCAGGGCAATAGGACGCAGAGTCTCGATAATGGCAGCTCCGGGGACTCCCAGGCGCGGGCCTGGGCACTACAAGAGCAGGTAGTATATGTTCACACCGGCGTCCGGCACGCTATGGTCAGCCCCACACCTCGTCCCCAGGTCCTCGCGCTTCGTCAGCCCCGCCCCTCCTCGGGTCCTCTAGTCAGCGTTCGGCGCCCTGCAGACTCCGCCTTCTCGAGTTCTGGGCGGTGCTCACCGCGGCTTACTACTCTTAACGCGAAGCGACAGAATCAGGAGGTGTAGAGGCATTCTTTGAGTGTTCTTGTCGGTTCTGTTTTGGAAGCCTCAGAATCTTCTTGGGTTGGCTCAGATTGCTGCAAAGTAAAAGCTGTATTTCGGTGGGGCCGGAGAGGCACAGTCCTTCGGAGGACTCTGGCCCGCGTCCTGGCTCGGTCCCGTGCTGCCTTCGGACTTCGCCGAGCCTTTTTATCTGAAATTTTCACGTCGGGAAGGGATCGTAGTCTACTGAGAGCTGTTCTGAGCCCAGAGGAGTTGTGTGGTGCTAAATAGCTGTTCACCTCCCTTACACTGGAAAGCGTTGTAATGATAAGCCTACCTAACCTGTCAGGGATTTTTTCTGGAAACCTTTTAAGACAGTTCATATTTATTGAGTTCTGAGTGTTAGGCTATGTTCCAAGGGGCTTTTTAAAATCCTCGTAGCAACCCTGTGAAATCAGAAATTGCCCTCGTTTTACAAATGAGTTGAATGAGTCCAAGTAAAAGGTTAAGCAGTTTGTCTAGTAAGCTGGGATTTGTTTCCAGTCTAGTTCCAGATTGCATGCTTTTAAATACATACTAGGCTCCCTGCATAGAATCTAGTACTATTCACCGATCCTGTTAATTGGTATGTATTGTTCTTTAGAAAGAAAAAAGGTGTCAGCATTACTTACGTTTCCAAGCACGTTGATACTAAAGAGTTAGGAAGGATTTAACTCCGAATGGGTATGGTGTTTTTCTAGGTGAGGTACAAAAACATGGTGTGGACAATGCCATTTTGGGATGGCTTGATCCTTTTGGGCTTCCATAACAAAATACCATAGACTGGGTAGCTTATGAACCACAGAGGTTTATTCTTCACATTTCTGAAGGCTGGAATGTCACAGAACAAGGTGTGTCTAGGAAGGAGTGCTTTCTGTTCAGTGGATAGCACCTTCTGACCCTGTCCTCACATGGTGGAGAGGCAGAGGCCCTCCCTTGGGCCTATCTTATAAGGGCCTTTCCTTTCTTCCCATTCCTCACTTCCCAAGAGGCCACTTGCCAAAACCATCAGTTTGGGGGTTAGGATTTCAAAATGTGAAGTTTGAGGGACATATTTAGACCATAGCATAGGGCGTGTTTTTAAAGTTGCTTTCTTGGCCCTGGAATGGCAATGCAGTCGTCTGAACTGGTCTTAATCTACCAGGAATGGGCCTAAATTTTGAAAATATTTCTCGTTAAGGGAGTAAAATAAGTTTTATGGGTTTTTTGTTTAAGAAAGGATTCATTTATTTACTCTGATATGCTTACCCACTTCTGTGATGTCAACCATGGGTAGTGACCTAACATTAATTTACTTCAGCAGATATCTTTGTCTGCCTTGAATCCTGCATCCCCTAGGCTCCACAGCTATTCAATTGTATTGATTCTGTTAACTCTTACACATTTACTTTCACCTGTGTCTCCTTCCTTTTATCATTTTGTGAGTAAATAATTTTTAATTTGCCAACAAATCCTAATGTGGACGTAGTCAAGTTGTGAAATAAAGTGATTCTTGGTATGGAAATATGTGTGAAGACAGACTGTTAGTCTTTGCACTTTAACAACTAGCTGATGCACTTACGTCAAATGGATGAAAACATACAAATGCACTGTTGTTGGTTAAGGACTTCTGGGTGGTTAGAAGAATGTGCAGATCTAACTACTCCCATTAAGACCATTGATCAAAATGAAAAATGCTTATAAAGGTGGAGATCTCTATCAGTTTTAGTCTTATTGCATGCCAGAACCACTAAGGAATTGCTGCTAAATATAGGACAAATGGACTTGAGGAAATCACTGATGACTAACTTCAAACTCTGCCTCCTGAGATCACCACAGGTGAGTGGAAACAAGGCGCAAAGCCAGTAAAGCCCCCTCATTTGGAGATGTGAGGGGTAGAAACAGAGATAGAGTATAGGGTAGATGCAGTTAAAGAAAACACTGTTCTTGCTTCATGGCCATGGATTAAAATCGTTTGAAAGCTTCAACACTAGCAGGCAGTGTTTCAAGCAGAAATCTGGCAGCTAGTGGAGTCTGAGTCCTTATATTGGAAGGCATCAGTACTAGCAAGGACACACATACAGCCCTAAAGCAAGACCTAGGAGAAAAATTTGGTGCTCTACTCTCCTAGGGAACTAGAAGGAACCGGCTCTGTCCAGGGTATACTTTTCTAATTTTAGAGTTCTAAAGAAGCTCTTCTCACAAGGACCTGAGTGAATCCTTTCTCCTTGGAACAAAGGACAGGAAAAAAAGGACTTTCCCGCAGAAGTAAGGAAGACTCATTTTGTTGAGACACTATTTTTAGGTTCAAGGGAATGAATTGATAATGACAGTTTATATTTTTACATTGTATTGACTAGCAGCACTTTTATTTTTTTAGAGAGGGAGCCTCACTCTGTCTCAGGCTGGAGGGCAGGGGCCTAGCAACACTTTTTGAATACAGTCATGCACCACATAATATTTCAATGTCCGACTACATTGTATGACTATGGTCCCTTAAGATTATAATGGAGCTGAAAAATTCCTATTGCTTAGTGATGTTGTAACGTGATAGTGCAGCATACTACCCTTTCTGTTTAGAAACACAAACACAACATTGAGTTACAGTTACCTACATTATTCAGTACAGTAATATGCTAGAAAAGTTTATAGTCTAGGATCATAAGGCTATACTATCTAGGTTTGTATACTTTATGATGTTTGCACAACAATGAAATTGCCTAATGAGGCATTTCTCAGAACGTATCTCGTCGTTAGGCAACGCATGACTCTATTTTATTTCTAACGCCATATTATTTGAACTGTGGGTTCACCAAATATAAACTGTTTGACAAACTTGCAAAGAAACCCAGCTAAGTATAATTTAAAATGAGGAATAGGAAAGAAAGTTATTATATTCATTCACCAGTGGGATCTGGTTAGACCCATTCATTTTCGTTTCAATGACAATATTGTTTTCCAAAATACATGTTTGTTTTTTTGTGAATTCTGCCTATTCTTTCACTATGATTTCTATTATTTTGCCCTTTTAGTCAAGTTATATGTCTTTATTTTATTTTATTTTCTGTTAGTTCTGTTATTTTTAGCTTTTCAGTTCCTAACTCTCGTTGACAACCTCCATTGACTCTTACTCAGTGATTTATTTCCTCATGTGGTGCTCTTCTTCGGTGGGTGGTTTTGTTTATGGGACTCTCTTATGCCCTTAGTTGCAAAAGAGTCCCTTTAGAGCAATTATGCATTTCCTTCTGCCAGCATACTGTAGCTCTTAAAGATCCGAAGCATTTTCAAATGATAATTTCTCAGTCTGTGGCTCCTGACTTATGCAAATATTATAAATTTATATCTCTTGCAGGGCTGCGGTTTTGATTTCTCATAGGTACCTTATGTTTTTTCTTTTTTTCTCCCTATCCAAAGCCCCAAAGAACAAACTTCATCGCTTCCCCAGACTAGTAGATTACCTTTTTCCAGTTCTAGTGGCTGGCTATTCCTAAGGCTCTAGGTTTTACATAAGGGCTTAGTTCCAGCTCACCTGCCTCATTAAAGCTCAGCCTTGTGCTTGGACATTAAAACCCAACTACTGGTTCCTGAGGCATATGGCCAAGTATAAAATTTTGGAGGGCTACCGAAGTATCAGTTCTGCTTTCTGCTATTCAATTTTTAAAATTTATTTCGGGCACTGAGAATTTCCTTTTTGTTGTTTTTTGTTTTTAAGGTTGTATATGATTTATATAACAATACTTATATTTTATCCATTATTTCTATGAGTTTATAAAGGAAAGCTCAGTCAACCATGTTGGAGGAGGCCTTCTCATTTACTTTTCGTGAAGAACATCAGTGATCTTTGTTTTGCTCCTCCTGAGTCTTCCTTCCAGAGCTCACATTCCATATTCAAAGTCACTTTTCCTAAAAACCAGTAATTACTTCTCTAATGAAGTCTGGTACTAGGTCTTAAGAAAGTATTTTCGACAAGGTGCAGTGGCTCATGCCTGTAATCCCAGCACTTTGGGAGGCCAAGGTGGGCAGATCAGGAGGTCAGGAGATCAAGAGTATCCTGGCCCCCACATGGAAACCCCATCTCTACTAAAATACAAAAATTAGCTGGGTGTGGTGATGCGTGCCTGTAATCCCAGCTACTTGGGAGGCTGAGGCCCTAGAATCGCTTGAACCCAGGAGGTGGAAGTTGCAGTGATCCAAGATCGTGCCACTGCACTCCAGCCTGGTGACAGAGGTTTTTTTTTAAAAAAAATTTTCATGTACTACTCATAAAGTAAGTTCTATTCTTACTTGTTTCATATTTGTTTCTTTCTGTTTTTCCAGCTATCCTTGGCTTTTATCACTTGCATGCTGGTTAATAGCCAGAGCTACCTATCTCACCTCTCTTCTGCTTTGTCATACCCCTTCTTTTATGGGGATAATTATTGGCTTCTGTTCCTCAAATGTTATTCTCATTTCATAGTTCTCCTTGTCATGGTGGTCCATTGTTACTTTTTATTTGAAATCCACACACATCTGCCTGATCCTCCTCCAACTGGTTCCTTTTTATTACCAAACTCAATTCTTACTAGATTCAAAGAGAGTCTTCACTCTCAGAATTTTTGGTTTACAGAACAAAAACTGCTTCTGCAGTTAACATCTCCACTACCTCTTATACCACTCTGCAGTCCTCTAGTCAACAAATATATCTTAACTTAATCTTCTACTTCAACAAGACTCTGCCC